CCAACTCGAACGGAACAGCGGCGCTCAGGAGTAGGAAGCTCCAGCGATGACGAGTATTTGTTTGTGGGTATCAACGACACGCATGTTGACGAACAACCACCGATGCGCATGATGATTAAACTGGAATCCGGAAAAGATCGATATCAAGCACTACTTGACAGCGGCTGCTCGCGTAGTATTATCAGCACAGCTTTCATGCAGAAGCTGCACGCAGCAGGGTCGGAGCTGGAAAACACCGCAGTGGGCTTCAAGTTAGTCCAGGGAAGCGCTTCTAGTGAAGGCGCCATGACGGTTCGCTGCCGTATCCCTTAGCTCAAACGTGATACATTGATAATTCACAAGTTCGAGGTGCTATCATCGCTACCAGACGACATGACCATCGGCCGCGATTTAATGAGCGCCCTCGGTCTAGTAATCGACTTCAAGAACGGACGAATCAATTGGGACGGCAGTGAGCTCGTTGTCCGCACGACTGACACCGCCACGGAGGGTCCAAATGCTGTGGCGAACGACCATGTACTTGAGAATGATAATGAGTTTCTCGCTGGAGATGATACGAGCGTCTCACCTACAGATTTATTGCCGCAGCACCTGGAAGAAGCGCTGGAGCATTGTTACCTGAAACTACTCGAGGAATACATGGATCTGTATGGCGGTAGACTCGGCAGAATTCGCCTGGATGACTACATTCTCCCGCTGAGTACTGATTGCATGCCATCGCACGCTAAACCTTACAGCATTCCACGCAGTCAAGAAGAAGCAGCTCGTCGCGAGATAAAGCGTCTCTTCGAACTGGACGTCATCGAGCAAATTTACGGGTCCGAGGCGGCCGCACCCGCCTTCTTCCTGAGCAAACTCAGCGGAGCGTTGCGCCTACTGGTCGACTTCCGCCAGTTGAATCGATTTTTACGCCGCTCGCCATACTACGTGCCCAAGATACGTGAAATCTTGCTCAAGTTGGGGAAAGCCAAGTGCATGTCCACTCTGGACGCTAACATGGGGTACTTTGCGCGCAGGATTGCCTTGCAGAGCCGTCATGTTACCGCGTTTTGCCTCACATTTGGGAAGTTTCAATTTAAACGTTTGCCGATGGTAATCTCCACTGCGCCCGATGAATACCAGGCGTGCATGGAGAAAATCCTGGGAGACCTGGAGTTTGTCATCGTTTACCTTGACGACATCCTCATTTTTTCAGAAACTCCAGAAGAGCACCTGGAGCACTTGCGGATCGTGTTCGACCGCCTCCGACAGTACGATGTTACCTTGAATGGCAAAAAGTGCCACATTCTGAGGGATCATGTGGATTACCTAGGTTTCACTCTTACACCGCAAGGCATCCAGCCGCAAGCCAAGAAGGTGGAGGCTATCCTACTTATCTCCGAGCCTCGTAACAAACGCGAGTTGCGGCGCTTTTTGGGGATGATCGCGTACTACCGCGACATGGTCCCAAACAAGTCGGCAATGACAGCTCGACTCAACCGGTTGACGTCCAAGAATATTCCATTTACCTGGACTCCAGAAGATGCAACAGCTTTCAACAACATCAAGACAGCACTAGCTCGCAGCGTACTGCTAGCATTTCCCGACTATAGCCGTCGCTTCCACGTATTCGCCGACGCCAGCGGTTTTCAGATTGGTGGCATTATATTGCAAGGCAGGAGAATTCTCGCCTGCTTCTCCCGATCAATGACCGACACCCAGCGCACATACTCCACGATGGAGTGGGAGTTGCTGTCAGTAGTGGAAATTCTCAAGGAGTATAGGACGATGCTACTCGGATTTCCTGTGGTAATTCGCACCGATCACAAAAATTTACTCTTCCCGCGCGAAACATCTTTGCGCGTGAAACGATGGAAACTACTCCTGGAGGAATATCGACTCCAAGTTGAGTACGTCCCCGGTGCACAAAACATCGGCGCTGATGCTTTTTCGCGCCTCCGTTATGACTTCGTGAAATAAGTGGTAGAAGATGAGCTTTTCGCAGTGGAAGATGAAGAAGTTGCAATCGATGGAGCAGTTGTCAAGAAGCACCAACTTGCTGATAAATCGTGTAGCGCCACAATCACCAAGTTAGAGAGAAAACAAGCGGATCCAGACTACACGCTGCGCCCTGCTCTTGGAACGGTCTTGCTGCACCACCAGAACAGGATTGTGGTGCCGGAGTCGTTGCGCCAAGACCTAGTGGAGATGTATCACTCGTACTTGCTGCATCTTGGTGCTGAGAAGCAATACCACACGATGTCTGCCTTCTGGTGGCCGGGTATGCAACACCACGTGACGGACTATGTGAAAAAATGTACTGACTGCAAGAGAGCAAAACTACACGGCGGCAAGCAAAAGTACGGGCTCCTACCACCAACACCGGCCTCTAACACAGACCGACCATTTGACGTTGTTCACGTTGATCTACTTGGCCCAATCTCTGCGGATTTCTATTGCCTCACGGTGATCGAGCAACAGTTTAGATGGCTTAAGTCATCGTTCAACGCGGCAAGACATCGAAAGTCACCGCGATTAGCTTCGAGCGGGTCTGGTTGTGCCGTTATCCGCGTCCCAAGAACGTCGTGCATGACCTCGGAACCGAGTTCACAGGCGATGAATTTCAAGCCTTGTTGAAGTCGATGGCGAGTAAAAGCAAGCGGATCACCGCCAAGAATCCGCAGGCAAACGCTATATGTGAACGTGTTCACCTCGAGCTGATGAACACCTTGCGAGTACGCCCAGATTTGCAAGATCAGCTGGAAACCGCACTCGATTATGCTGCGTACGCCATCCGTGCCAGTTATCACACGGTGCTGCGGGCATCGCCCGCGCAATTGCTGTTTGGCGAAGATATGCTAACCCGCCAACTACACTTCGCTAATTGGAATTTCCTCTCCAAGCAGCGCTTCATGGCGATACTGCAGGAAAACAATCGTGAAAATCTGAAACGCGTACAGCACTTCTACCGAGTTGGAGATACTGTGATGCTGCGCATTCCTGCACGCGAAAGAAAGAAAACAGACCCAGTCTCGAAAGGTCCATACGTGGTCAAGGAGGTATTCGACAATGGAACGGTGCTCTCGACACGGGAACCGCCGAGTACCGTGCCAACATCCGACGGATTTTTCCCTGTTAAGGGAACTTCATCATCCTGGCATCGGGGAGAATGACATCATTCCGCACCCTGTCGTCGCTTAGGCCTGTCCTCACTGGCGCAAGAGGCAACCCAGACCGATCTTGTGGCGACTGCATTCATATGTTCAAACGAAGGCCTCCTCTAGGGAGCGCCCTGCATAAGTAGCTAACGCCAGGGTAATCTCAGTTCGCATTTCGCACAGCTCAACACAAGTGGCTTTGGCAGGAGGTTAAAGCTTCCCTCCATCTTCGGTGGCGTCTTGTTCACCTCCATTGACGAACGAGGCAGTGGAAGGGGAAACATTAGTTCCGCGGCTCTCCCTAGATTCATTCCCAGAAGCTTCAACGGCACATTCCCCGTAGACACGTTCGCCATTGGCACTGGTGCACTCACTACCGGAACTTCTCGATGCTGCTGCGGGACAGCTGGAGACGCCGTCCCAGGCACTGAAGGCGGTCGTGGAGGTTGCAGCACTGGAATGCCACCAACACCAAGCCCAGAAATAATAACCGGTCCCGTCGTAGGTGTCGACTCGGCCATCATCCTGCCCGCTTCAGATCCCGCCGGACTCCCAACAAATCCGTTATCGAGAACCGAGACATTACAAACTTTCACGTCACTGCAAAATCGCTCCAAATTTGGGCTCACAACCCTAGCAGCTTCTTGAAGCTGCTCCTTGCAGAGGTGTCGACGCAAAATCACAAGCAAGAACTCGTTCTCGTCCCACTTAGCAAAATTGGGATTGAGCTGACACTGCAGTGAACTTCTTTAGCTAAGCTACTTCAACTAACGGGCGGGTGAAAAAGCTATGAGTTTCTGTGCTTGAGCCCAAGCTCTCATAGTACAGCCAGCGGTTCAAGCGGCTTTCACCCTGCTTCACACGCCAGTTCTTCCATACCAGCATGTCCACGCTGTTCCACAGACACGCCACCTCTCCAACTGAGCAGTAACGCGTACCAAAGTCGTGCTGCGTACGAAGAAGCTCTGAAATTTTGAGGATGACATGTTAACAAAAACTGTTAAAATGTCTAAATATTGCAGGTGCGTTGAGATCGACGATAATTTATCACTTACAGTAATATGAATGACCATGATGGATTGCTCAACCCAGGATCTAACGTGGGCTCAATTGAAGACCACGAAGCCAGCTTATTACTTTATAACTTTTGCGTTGGTGTTTCTTCTTTTCCTTTCAAAACTTGTGTGGTTTTAACTACGAAGGTTAGACTTCTATACGCACACAAAGACAATTTCGTGGCTAGCAATCCTGCGAGTTCGCAACCAAAGACCGGTAGCGCTTAACTATCAGATACGGATAACCGGACACCAAAATTCTCTGGATTTATATCCAGAGACCAACTTGACCACATATATTTATCTAGAAACCGATTGAAATAGAACCTGCTTGGACTCGCGAGGACAATATTTGCCGTGCATTCGGCGGAGGCGTTTCGTGAGCCAAAGGAAAAGAGTGACTACTCTGTCGCTTCTAAAGGTTCGTTCATACAATCGGTACCGTTACCGAATTAAAACAGTCTAAACTAGCCCGGAAGGCAGCCTAAACACAGATAATTAAATCTCCAGGTGGAAATAAATTGAGAAAAACTAGCCGATATATTTTTTTTGTGGCATCCATTTATCATTGCATGTTGTTTCTGTCGGTTTGACCCAGTTTTACCCTTTCAAATTGTTTCACACAGCGATCCGTTGAAATTTGCGAACTTCACACGCTTCATTTGCGAAGCAAGCACTGACACCCAAAGGTCAATACAAGGCAAAATTAAAGAGTGATCTACTTGTACTAGCCGCAGGGTCACTGCACTTGCAAGATATCGGTTTGCAGAGGCAAGTTGATACTACTTTTTTCTAGAACCCAACATCTCTAAAACTACGCGCTTGATCTATTTCGTCGCTTCATGTGGGGCTGATTCGACCCGTGAACAAGATTGCTAAATGTACGGCAGTAAAGATTCCATGTATGTTTGGGAAATATCGGGTATGAAATGATATCTGGAAAATATCATTTCATACCCGATCATATGGTCTGATAATGATTCCTCCAATCTGATTCGTTCCATTAGCACCCGGGGTTGGCCCCTCGAATGAGGTTTGGACTTGTGCTGCCTATCAAACGTTGTTGGAGCGTCAGTCTTCAAGGTGTGTGGCTAACTGGAGCCGTTTTATCTCTATTTTATAGTTTGTATCCTATAATATCAGAACATGTTGTTGTTCATTGGTCCGCTAGTATCTTAGTGGAGGCTTCAGAATAAGGGTTCTACTAACAGACTAAGTCTATACAACTACGTGCATGACTGTATCTCTAATATCAATTTCTAGTATCTTTCGATATGTAAACACAGAAGCGTATTCCCAGCTAAGTAGAAGACGATCTAGTTGTAATCTTCTCCGGATAGGTCAACCTTCACGGATAGTATAACTATCCAAAAGGTTAGTGTATAAATCAAGCCGTTAAAATTGAGCACGGGGGTGTATCTATATCGTGTTGAGACTAGCATTAATAGTCAAAAGGTTACAACGTCGTTTCAGGATAGTTATCAGCATCGCACACAAGAGTATATAAATTTGCAGCAAGACCCACAAAAACGCCTGATTGGATCAAAATATTTTTTTTTCCTTTTTGCGGCAGTGAGCATTACTGTCTTCCTGGGTTATTTCCTATATTATAGGAAATAACTCAGGAAGACAGTAATGCTCACTGCCGCAAAAGGAAAAGATATTTTATATTATAAGAGTTTAAGGGAAATGCCCGTAACCGAAGACGTCGGTCATGATCGTAGTGTAGAAATTCCCGTCTTCAAATTGCTTCCTTTTTTGGGTATGTGCAAATCTTGATAATATTTTGTTAGTAAAGTCTAGCAGCTTCTTCGTGTTAGGCTTTAACCTTCATTCCCAATGTAAATCACGAGCAAGCCCGCAGGCACACCGCAGGCGGCTTAGGGGTAGCCATGGACGATATTCTCACTTTTCAATAGAGTCGGTGTTTCGACTTCACTGTTGAAATGGGTACGTTTGCGCGCATTGTGATCAGTTGACCAGTAAAAGCAGAGCGACTGCATTTGTACCGATTCCTTTTTTTCGTTTCAGCTGCACTTATGGAGGCTTGAACAGCGAGAATCATTTTATGTGTCAAGTCAGTATTTGTAGTTGTTCTGAGACTCTCCTGTTGGCGGGCTGATGACAGCTCACCTCGGTTAGAAATCGTTCCGCGTAGCTATCGTGGTCCTTTCGAGCCCGGATTGGTCCGCTCATTCGTGCCTGCCGATATCGAGGTGGAGGAGCAATTATCGCGTCAAGTTCGGTTTCTAGTGGGATTGAGATAGTTAATCATGTGAACGTGGCTTTGATATGAACGTACTATATAGGCTGGATGAAAACTTTTCAATAGTGTTTCCGCGATATTCATCTTCTTATCAATTTTGGTTTTGCGGTACACAAATGACGACACGGCATCAAGGCAAGTTGGCGAGTACAGCAGCGAGTGCATTGGTGAGTGTCTAATTTGACTCTATATGACCGGGTAGTTTGGACTGGTTCTGAGTTGGTCGTCGGCGAATACTCGTAATTCTTGAACGATGTGATAGATACGAGGAGAAAATTTGGTCTGCGTCAGCAACGCAGCACCATCGAACATTTGTTTTACTTTTGGGGTAACATCGTGCTTGCTAGCTATTCAGTTACTTGCTGTTTTGTCGCTGGAAGATATGACCGACATCAGACGATAGCAAAACTGGACCAAAGCACCAAGAACTTGTTTGTTACGTAAGTTACTAAATTACCGAAGCGTGACCAGCTAGTAGGTAGAATCAACCGAAGATAATCAGAGATGAATTGTGCCTTTTCAGAGTTGGCGCGTATAGGAACAAGAAATTCTGCTTTGATCTCTTCTAAGACATCAGAAGCTCGACAGGTACTGCAACCTTGACGTTTAAATACAAATGGTTTTACAGGTTTGATATCATGATCGATACTTTTAAACCAGTTGAACACGATACAGAATTTCAAGTTGATGTTCAAACCAAGGTGCGATAGCAAAAGCTTGGCATCCAATTGCTTGCTGTGATCGGAAAAAGGGCTACCACTTCCAACTTAATATAGAAAGGATTTTCATATGAGTGTTTAATATGACTGCCATCAATTTCATACTCAGGCAATATATGATTTTGGCGTTTTATCAGTACTCTAATTGCAATGAATGCTCTGAAACGCGCTTTGCTGTCTAGCAGGCAGCAAGTACGAGAACCCTGATTTGGAGCAACAAACAATCATAAAAAGCTCGCCAAACTGTCGTAACCAATGTGCTGCTCAGCCAAGGCTATACGGTCAGCCAGCGCGATACTAGCGCGTGGTACACGCTAGATTTTTTATTGATGAAATGGATGAAGTTAACTCTTTGTTCTGATTCAACAACGCGTGCAAATGACGATTCACAACCCGGAACGATAGAGGCTTTAAATCCACTAAGATCATGAATTCGACTGACCGAGCACGCCAGGACAGAATCACACAAATTCACATGAGATAAATCCATGCAGCTAGTATACCAAGTACCGGTAGGTATACCACTCAGGTTAGATTTTTTTTAATATTCTTTCAATGCCGCTGTGCCAGGGACACAAACCAAGTGCATGTATTACCCTAACATTCCCACGACATAAAATATCCATGTGAAACACCCAGTTTGATTGATTGCGCTCATTAAAGGCAACATCTTTGAGGAACAGGCCGATCGATTCAGCCGAAATGAAGCAGTCGTGGAGTTTAACTACATTGAGCCCATGCCTCGCACGTAGATTCAACAGGTACATGCGGTCGAGTCCGACTAACCGCCACAGGTCGTGAAATTATCTCAGGGTCTATTTATGCTAAAGGGAGTTCAAAGCTCCACTGTTACGTGCTGAATATTTTCCTCATCGATAAAAATGATGTTGTGGGTATTGCTGCGAATTTATCTAATCTTGTCGGCAGTGTCCCGTCGTTAGAATCCCCGGTAGGACTCTGGATATTAAACCAATTGTGAAACTCCAGTATATGGTATGAAACCATCATACGGTCCGTAACCAAATTTGTAGTTACTGAACCAGCTTTGGTAGAGATTATTAAGAGCTAACAGACGCAGGAAATCCTTCTATTATTCCGTCAATACTATTCTAGTTTTATTTTATTTTATTATATTTGTTCCGAACCCTATTTCTTTTGCCACAGCAAGCTACAAAGCAATGCATTACTGACAAGCTGTCATCGGAACTGGATCATTAATGTTGCGAGACATTGACAAAACGCAGCATCACCTGTACTTGGACAATCGATGGATTACGCTACATCTACTTAAGCATTTATCAGTGATTCATTATTGGAGTCCGCCGCTATCCGTAAAATATAATCTATTCCAATACCTGTATTGGACTTTAACCATGTTTCTGTGATAAAATGTTCAGAAATCAGGGTAAGTAACCCAAAAAAATCGTTTTAGAATATACAATCGTCTGAAATCCTCCAAAAAATTTACACAAATACTTATAATTGTTATTATTGGATTCCTGTTTTACGGAATAACGTTTTTTTCGCCCCTGAGATTCAAGGGCAATTAATACTTAAGTATTTGATTGATTTTCCTAGCCCTGCAAAGAAGAATCAAGTGCAGTAGATCCCCAATACCCTGCCCTACCGTTGCATTTGAGTGCAGTTCCGAAATCTACCCGCACCCCATCCTCCTCATTGCTGATCTCGTCTATTCTCTTTTGCTTCTCTCGACGAGAAGGTATATCTCCGTCCGTTGCTTGAGTTTTGGCTTCATTACCGACAAAAGCGATTTAACGAAGCTCATCACTCAATGGAGCCCGAGACAGACCCCAAAATGTAAAGGTTGGCTATTCATGGATGTGTAAAGTGTTTTATAATACGTCACGGATCTGAACGGCTCCTTCGAGGAGCGCGTTTGATGCAGGTAGTTCTCAGAATCAAATCTCCATAACCGAGCAGCACCAGCGAACGCGTCAGCACCAGAATCAAACACAACTGAGTTGTTCAGTACGTCGAACGCGGTATGGAACAGTGCAAACATTGATGGCACCATTGCACTATCGAGTGGTGTAGGCATCAGCCTTCATACATCGGTAACGCGCATCGCTGCCATATTCTAGTGCTATATGGTGCTTCTTAAGGAATCAAATGTTGTTGCAGATAATTGACTTAGATGGTGCCAGTATTCCGAGCACAAACGTAGGTGATCGTCAAAAGTCTATGCGATTTAAAGATACGTCTGTGACTCCACAGCCATGATATACTATATCCACTGACGAGTCTTTGTCGCACCGGACTTAAAACACTGATCGTTAATTCTCCTTGGAACTCATAGCCAACACAACCAATGCAGAGCCGATCTAAGTTCTGTAATTGCACGCCCTTATTGCAATAATGTATCGTCCGCTTCCCACAACGAACTTTTACTGCATCTCCATCACAAATAAGGCTAGCAACACCGCCAACAACATGTCTACTGTCATGCGGACTCAACCCGTTTACACAACGATCGTGCATTCATTCAGCGAGCACATGGAGAGCACAACCCAAAAAGGAGAGACCTCGCCACAACATAGTACCTCCGACATAGTGAGCTTGAAAAGATGGCTTCGTAGTGGCGGTGTTCATGCAATAAGCTGTGGTTTGTGCCTGCGGCTGGACTATTCCGCAAGTATTTTGTCCCCATGACGAACATCGACGCATAACAGAAAGCAAGGTATGCACTTGCTTTTAGCCGAACTCAAGTGAAAACCCTAAACATTGCACTGATACGCAAAATGCGAACGCGCAATTCAATTATCTTCGAATCTGGATACCATTAATCGCGTTTCGACGCCAGTACTTGCCGTACTCGAGCAAGACTTTTGCGAACTTGGGGTCCTGCTCGTACACTTCCTTCGGCACTCCCTTGAACAAATACTCTTGGAGACGTTTGTAGTCCCATTTCCCCTTCTTCCAGAAATAAAACTTCATTTTCTTGGGAATGGGCAGATTCCCTGTCGTCTTACCCAGAAAGTTGAACAAACTCGTCTGGACCCCTCTCTCTTCAGCGGAAGTGTCGTCACCTGTCGTCCCCGTGGTTCTCAAAAGCCTCTGCTGTGAATTGTCGGCAAGCTTGTTGTCTTTGTATTCATGCGTCCCCATTGCCACTCCGGTTTTTGCGATAATGGCAGCTACAAGTACCACGAACATGAAGAAGCGTTTCATGTTGCCTATTTGCTGAGTTACAAAGCTGGTAGTTGGTAGTTGGTATGACGCTTTGTAAACTAGTGATTGGAGTGGCGGTGTGTGTGTGTGCTGAGGAGACAATTGCGAAGTGAGCTCACTTGGCTAGAGTTTATGTCAAGTGACTTTCCAGAAAGTCAGCATCCGCATGCTTCCCAAGAGATAACTTTAAAAGGATAGGACACCCTTTATTTTTCGCATATCGGCCAGAATTCAAAGTATGTCACATAACACATATCTTACGAGACTTATACATTATCATATATAAGACCCTTAAAACTCACCGGTGGGAAATTGCGGTTTCCGGCTAATTCAACACTACCTCTGCACTCAAAAACACTGCGCATACACATTTAATACATTCTGCGATCAGAATAAGGGGCGCTGTTTATCATTTGCGAAACTTTTCGTGCAGTGATGCCTCCCTCCGGGAGGCAAGTTAGCTGCATTAGATATTTTTCCTGTGTTTGTCTTCAAAAATCCCAATCAAACATCGTCCATACCCTCGTAATGAGAGTAAATACATATTGTCAAAAGAGAAAGAATCGATCAGTACAAAACGATGGACGTGGCTGCTTGCACGCATTGAAAAAGGTAACTTTGAATAAATATGCCATCATGCGTGTCGTTGGAAGCAAAGTGGCCATAACAGATTCAGCGCGAATATACACTGAAACAAAAAAAAGATAGCCAACTCGGCTTCAAAGTTGGGTTAACCATAAAAGCTGGTTGGCTATCCTTTTTTCTTGTTTAAAATCGAGCTGTAGCACATGTTTACTGAAGTATGTATTGATTCTGATTTGGCCCTAAGCCGGTGAACTTGGTGCTATGGGCCCGCGTACATGAGTAGAAAAAAATGCTATAGCAACGAGTGCCTCCGATTCATTGGCTGGCTCACCAATTGCATTTGTTTACGTCAAAGCGAAGTACATGTAAAGCCAATTATTCGCATAAAATCGCATGATAGACGATCATCGATTGGGCGATTTGTGAGGGAGGCTATTAATATTGGGTGATTTTTTCTGTCATGATATTTGAAGTACAAATAGGCTTTTGCTTTCCAACTGACTTTTCAATTTTAATGATAGCGAAATCTTCCTAAACGCATTTCACCTCTAACACCCTGAAAAATCCAGAGAATAGATCGATTTTTTATTTGAAAAACATCAAACATGACACAATGCCAGTGCGTTTTTTTTCATCTACAGATACGGGCGTATTTGAGTTCTCCCCATACTTAAAATAATCCACCTGTAAATTTAATCTTTCTCTTCCGACGAACTTGCATAAACTGTTGATGGTGAACGTGATAATATCACGTTCACCATCAACAGTTTACGGCTAAAACTAAACACCATAATCATATTTCCTATCTGCCATCCTGCCTTCCAACTGACTATTCAATATTAATGATTGCGAAATCTTCCTAAACTCATTTGACAACTATCTCCTTCGTGCCCGCACTGCCATAATATTGCTATTGACAGTACAACAAGCAGCATGACTCGTTTGATTTTTTAGTGGTGCTACCTTCCTGGCAATCGGCGAAGCAATGAGGGAACCAGGGAACGGAAGCAACAAGCTCACCGACAACACACACCAGATCTATTTGAGAAGCACGAGGACGACCGAAAGCATTTCAAACGCTGAAGAGAGAAGGCTCCAGAGTAGTTTGTATGGGATGCTGGGTAAGGCTGCGACGAAGTTGCCTTTGCCCGAAAAACTGAAGTTTGTGATCTGGAGGAAGGCGGGTTAGGATTACAACATTCTCAAACAGAAATTGTTCAAGGGAGTACCGAAGGAAGTGTACGAGAAGGATCCTAGGTTCGAAAAGGTCTTGCTCAAATACGGCGAGTACTGGCGTCGAAACGCTGTTAATGGCTACCCGATTCGAAGCTGATTGATCACGCGCTTTCCGTATCCGAGTTTTACTTGTCAGTACCCGGGACCGAAACACGTACAGTATAGTGGATTCGCGAGCACAGAATACTGTTTACTGAATGACTACGCCACCGACGTTATGAAGCTAAGCAGAAGCAGAATTCACGGCTTTAAGACGAAATGAGACAAACGTTTGTGTGACGAATTTCTTGAGTTCATTGGTGTCGAACTTATCGTAGACCGTGAAGCTGTTCTTCGTGGTGACGATTTCGATGTGGTTGTCGAACCCTGGAAGTTGCGACTGTGACTATATACACGCAACAAGCTGCCTCTTCGCTGTCAAGTTAAATCTAACTACAGGCTTTAAAACACAGGTAAATAATCTGATCGGACTCGAGGTAGAATCATGCTACTGATCTAAGCGCCGAAGAGTTTTTTGCGAAGAAGTCACTCTTCAGCCGGGATGTCGTTTGTGGTATTGCCAGACTCCTTCTCGCTAAAAACTACATGCGTGGTCCTGGGAGCTGACGACAATCTACGATCCCAGCACTGACCGATTTGGCAATGAAACCAGATACACGTTAGCCTCCTTTAGCAAATATACAATTATCATTCAGGCGATTGATGTGGTGCACATTCATGAGATTTAGTTTGGCGGACATGGATTTGGGTCGGGCAGAGTACCTTCAGCAGTCGGGTTGGCAGTCTGCCAGTTGATTGCTACATATATTGTCTGGAGAAAGCGGTCGGGTCGTGCGTGCTCAGGCTGCCAATTGAGAAATGATTGTATTGCTTGAGCGAGTCGGACTCGCAACACATCTCTTGTCCGTTGGATGGCAAGCTTACTATCAAAGGGTGGGGTCGCTTGCTTGTGATCAGTAAGACGGATCCACGCTGCAATCCGTGTCTGTATTCGCACGTACAAAAAAACCGAGTAGTAAGTTTTTGAGTCTGAGTCATCAGAAAATTACTCGCATAAAGTTTGGTGCCCATACGAGATGTTGGAGGTCAGAGGGAAAAGAAAGAGTTATTAACGAAGAAACTTGTTGGAACTAAGTGTGCTAGGGATATCTAAAGTCGCAGGAAGATATTAAAAGTCAGGCTTCCGGTGGTTCTGCTTTACTTATTTTTTGCCCTTACCACTTGCATGCAAAGCGGATCGAATGCCAACTACTGCATAAACATCCGATCACACGTACATCGACTTGCTGTGTTCGTAAGGAAACTTGCAGCCTTCTCGCCGACCGATGGTCACTGCTTTGACTTTGACATTCTTACTGTTAGCCAGCACGCTAATCCCATTGGTACAATGTACCATGCTGCGTGTCGATGTTGCTTGGTGTCGATGAGTGACCTGCTGCAGTGCGCATTGGTCGTCGGCACCAGCGGGCACACAGTTGCACCTTGACGGGACGATGCCCGGAGTGCTGACCAGGCTATTCTCCAGCACCCATGGGGTGGCAGTGGCGCGTTTCCAAGCTTGGAGAGGCTTTTTGAAGCATTATTAAAATAATACGAAACACCACCAGTAGTTTTGTGATCATTTGCTCGATCGCTGCAGCTCAACGTTGAGCTCAACGCCAGCAACATTTAGTAATGATAGTCCTGCTATTTTGAGCTGAAAGTGACAACAAAATAGTACGCCAAGATTGTGTGCTAGACGATAAGACTCAAGGAAAATGGGATATTTCCTGATGACTCACCATTAAATACAATTTGTGCTTGTCTCTGCGACCGTATGAGTGACTTGAAGTGGCGCTGACTCGCGCACTCTGATTGGTTCGTTCTGTGCTGAATAGCGAAAAGTGAAGCGGTGATGAGTGACCTTGGGGAAACAAGCGGTTCCTCCGGTCTGCGCCATTCCAGTGGTTCCAACTACAGGACGTGCTGCATGACTATGACCCCACCTACGAGCGCAACGTAGTGCTCCGACATGCCTAGTGTTCACAACTCAATTAGCCTCCCCAAGCACAACCCAAGCAACTCCGCATCGATTCGCGTCGAGCAACATCAGCACTAGCAGCAATGGCTCCCAACCAACAGACTGCCAACGCGACTGCTGAAAAGCACGCTGTTGGACCCAAGCCCATGTCTGCCAAGACCATCGCCATCCTCAAGGCCACCGCCCCCGTCGTCAAGGAGCACGGCACCGAGATCACCTCCACCATGTACGGCACGATGTTCTCCGAGTTCCCGGAGGTGCAAAATCTCTTCAATATGTCCCACCACCGAGTAGCCGGCGCCACCAAGGGTGGAGCACCCCCCGGTGTTTCGCGTCAGGCTACCGCGCTTGCCAACGCTGTCATTGGCTTCGCTGCCAACTGCGACCAGCTCGGTAACCTCGGTGATGCCGTTCCGCGTATGGTGCACAAGCATGTGAGTCTAGATATCCGTGCCAAGCACTACCCAATTGTCGGTGGATGTCTGCTACGTGCCATTAAGACCGTCCTTGGTGACGCCGCTACCGACGAGATCATTGACGCGTGGAAAGAAGCCTACTGGTTCCTTGCCGACCTCCTCATCCAGGCAGAGGACAACCTGCGCGACGAGTTCGAGAACATGCCAGGTGGTTGGGCTGGATTCCGCGACCTGCGCGTCTCTCGCAAGGTCAAGGAAAGCGACGAGGTCACGTCGTTCTACCTCGAAAGCACCGATTCGTCCAAGGGTCTCATGACGTTCAAGCCTGGCCAGTTCCTATCGCTCAAGTTTGACAACCTCCAGAATGGCCGCTCCATTGTGCGCAACTACAGTGTGTCGTCTGCTCCAGGCCAGAACTTCTACCGTATATCTGTCAAAAAGGAGTCTGGCAATGCTGCCAATGACGTTCCTGCTGGTGTAGTCTCGTCACACTTGCATAACGATGTCAAGGTCGGTAGCATCCTGCACGTGGGTGTACCGTGCGGACACTTCTACCTTCAGCCTTCCACTAAGCCGATCGTGTTCATCAGCGGTGGTGTGGGTTTCACCCCACTACTCAGCATGCTCGAGTCACTTGTGGCATCGTCAGCGAAGAAGCAGCCTGTTGTGTTCGTGCAGTACGCTCGTAACCCCAACGTTCGCGCATTCGGCGAGCACATCGAGAGTATCGCCAAGAAGAACGACTTCGTCACCGCGCATACAGTCTACGGCAAGTTCGACATCAACCAGCTCGAGAAGTTCCTGTCATCGAAGGACTGCGAGTTCTACTTCTGCGGCCCTGCTGGCTTCATGACGGCCGTGTTCAAGTCGCTCAGCAAACAGTGGTCTGTGCCCGCGACTCAGCTGCACTACGAGTACTTCGGCCCCACACAAGATATCGGCGCTGACAACTCGACGAAGGGCCCACCGTCCGCTTGTCCGTTTGCCACCTTCGACTACCACACACGACTGATGAGCAGCCATGACAAGCCGTCACGAACGGGTTTGATGGTCGCAGCTGCAGTTGCCACGTCCGCCGTGGTTCTCACGACGCTTTTACGATCGAGAAAGTAAGCGACACATCGATTTAGGTGCGTGCGTTAGCGCGCATGTTCGAGTTCGAGTAGGCTATTATCTTACTCCAATACAGGATCCATTCGCTTTTGTAGTCTCCAAGTTGAAGTCGAGTGTACCCATTTCATTTTTTTGCTCAAAATTATGGTAGGAGCACTAATTATGTGTTTCACTTTATTTTACGATGGGGAAGCGGAACCGCTGGGACTCGGACTCGGACTCCGGCGATGAGCGCGCCTCGAGGCGCAAGCAGAAGCTTCCCAGTCGCAGTAAATCTCCATCCAACTCCGCTGATATCTCCTCTCTAAATGCCAGCACTTCCAACGTACTTACACACTCTACAGCCGCTGCAATCGCCCTTCCAGATGACCCAGCGAGACACAATTTTTACCTTTTGGGCTGCCGCAGCGTCGATTGCTACGCGCGTATCGGTAAAATCGACGAGGGCACATATGGTGTCGTGTCCAAGGCGCGAGACAAGGAAACGGGCGACATCGTGGCGCTTAAACAGGTAAAGATGAGCGCTGATGTTAGCCAGGAAGGCTTCCCCATCACGGCATTGCGTGAGACCAACGTGCTGCTAGCTTTGGACCACCCGAACATTGTTCAGGTGCGCGAGATGGTGGTGGGGTCCACACCTGATAAGATCTACATGGTCATGGACTACGCCGAGAACGACCTGAAGAACGTCATGCAGACCAAGATGAAGGCTCCGTGGCTGCAATCCGAGGTCAAGTACCTGCTGCACTCGCTACTGAGTGCTGTGGCCTATATGCATGACCGCTGGTACATTCACCGCGATCTCAAGACCAGCAACTTGTTGTACGATGCACGAGGTGTGTTGAAAATCTGCGATTTCGGACTGGCACGCAAGTATGGCTCACCATTGAGAACTTACACGCAACTAGTGGTAACGCTGTGGTATCGCTCACCGGAATTGCTGCTTGGAGCCAAGAATTACTCGACGGCGGTGGATATGTGGTCGGTTGGTTGTATTTTCGCCGAGATGTTGCTGATGAAGCCACTGTTTACAGGACGAGGAGAGCTCGACCAAACTGATCAGATCTTTAAGCTGTTAGGAGCGCCGAACGAGGAGAACTGGCCAGGTGTCGATGAGGATGTACCCGATGCAAGTGTGAGTGTACGTGGCAAGTGGCCAAAGCACTCACGACTGCGAGATAAGTTCCCCCTAGCTGCTACGTTCTCGGGTAGTGGATGTTCTCTATCAAAGGCAGGGTTTGACCTGTTGAGTCGGATGTTGGCTCTTAGCCCACGTAAGCGCATTTCGGCCAAGGATGCACTGGCACATGAATATTTCCAGGAGTCTCCTCCACCCAAGCAACAGGAACTCATGCCGACATTCCCTGCATAGAACAAGACTAGTTGACTTCATTTGCGCTACGTGTTACTTTCCCACTCAACCACTTTGACTCGCTTCGTGTTTTTTGTAGAACGGTCACACTTGCCCACATGCGGCACCACCTCCGTCGCTGAGGAAGTCCAGATATGCTTGGTCCTCGAACCGACTGGGTAGGAATGCGTCCACATGGTTAGCGAGGCCACATCCTTCCAACTTCTCGCCCATGACGTGTGTGGCAAGCAAGTGTCCCGACGCTGCGCTAGACATGAGGCCAACTCCACTCATTGCAGACTGTAAGAACACGCCACCGACGGTGTTTGGTGCTGGTCCGATTAGTGGCAGGTTGTCCAGCGTCTTGCAGTAGTAGCCACCACTGACGTAGAACGAGTCCCGCACTTCAGGTCGCGTCAGATACGACTTTACTTGAGGGAACATCCTCGTAAGCCCGCGAACACAGACTTCGGGGAATCTGCAGTAGCGTTGTTAGTCTCAAGTGCATAGTCTTCACACACTAGAGTTAACTCACCTCCTGTCCAAAATGTCTTCAACTGGGTAGTGCGCTGGCACGGGCTCGATATCGTACGTCCAGACTGCCATCATCTTATCCCCATTATACGGACGCACATGAACTCCTCCGGGGTATTCCTTCAACATCCGAGCAGCTGATGGATCCGCCATGATTTCTTTACGGTCTTCATCCGAAATCTGCAGCAGAACAATGCCAAGTGAGCTTCTTAATCAGGGTCAACTAGCAAGATTTTTCAAGATACCTCGAGCTTGCCCATCGGGTCCGAATCGAATGTCAACGGCATTGTAGGAGGTAGCACACGATCAACATCGTCGACGATAGCTCGGCAGTGCAGTTCATTGATAATAGGCACGTCAAAGCTCGACATGTCCCTTTGCTTTAGCATTTCCAGCGTACTCTCGAACAACGGACCCGTTGCAAACACCACCTTAGGAGTCGCCACTTCCAGTGTATCTCCATTATGCATCGCCACTTTAACGCCACTCACATTGCCACCAGTAGCCGCAAAATCAGTGACTTTGCCCTGTAGCACTTCGGCTTTCGGACAGTACTCGACTGCCTTGTTAAGCTCATAGTTGGCTACTTTAACAGGGTTCAGAGATCCACAACGACGCACATGCAACGCTGCTAAAGCGAAAGAATCCTTGAGATTGGGGAAGGCTGCCGCAACGTTATCGATGCCCACGAGTAGATCACTGCCGTCCAGATCGTACTGCATCTCCTCGGTGGAGAACCGGTAGCCACTGAGCTTGTCATTTGGCTCATGTACGCGCAGCTCTCCGCCTCCATGACGCTCTAGGTTCTTTGCTAACCGCTTGAGTTCCTCCATCTTCCCGGCATCCTGGGTCACGAACAGATATCCGTTGCGGTTCAAGCCCAGAGCATTGTTGGTTTGCTTGCAGATGTTGTCCATCTCGTCGATCGAGTGCACCACGAGCTCCCTCATAGGCGTCTCAGCATCACTAGGGAACCAGTTGCGGTAGCTGAAAGAACCGTTCGCACTGGTAAGCGACAACGGAGGTAGGGCATCCACCAGCAGTGCCTTGAAGCCACGATTGCGAGCATTCAGACGTGCCAAGTGGTAGAACGCCGAGCAGCCTGCCACTCCTGCACCGACCACCACAACGTCCGCCGAGGCCTTGCGCAACATGCTTAACTTCAATTCTTCCGACCGCAAATCGCCAACTGACCGACGTGATGAGCGTGAAAGGTTGCAAGGGAGATCTCCATTGCGGTGGTGCACTTCAAGGAGATTCCTTCCAATCATTCAGGTCGTCCTATCCGAGTGCACGTCTGAGTCAGACATTCCCGGTACATTTTGATCGACACTGCAAGCGTCATCAGATTCTGCATGACAAAGCTATCGTCACTATTCCTCAGAGCAATTTGCTTCGGGTAATGCGAATACATGATAGATAAAAAAAAAAAGATGGCAAAAGGATAGTAGTTTTGTGTTTTGTGCATCAAGTCAAGAATATGGTGTTGCCTTGTGTGTTGAGCACAAAATGGCGTCACCTTTTCGTACACTTACAACTTGCTGGCAGCGTCGATGGTGTGGCTCTTGGCGAATTCGAGGCCCTTGCTCACGCTGTCCTGCGGCGAAATGTTGTGTTCGATCTGGCCCACTTTACCGCCGGGTAGCACGATCACGTGCGAGCGCTCCACACGCGTGCCATCGTTGATGGAGCTGCCGAAGTAGCCGATAAGCTGGTGCTTCGGATCCGACAAGAATGTGTACTTGTACTTCTGCGACTCCTTCCACGCGAGAAGCTCGGCGGGGGTATCCGCGCCCAGGCCGTACACGTCGAATCCGGCGGCGTTGATCGCCTCCAGGTTGTCGTTGTATCCGCACGCCTGAGTGGTGCAACCGGGCGTGTCTGCCTTCGGGTACATGAAGAAGATGGCGCCGCGGGTCTTGAACAGATCCTGGACCTTGACCGTAGCCGAGGCGTCCGTCTGCAGCTCGCCGTCGAAGGTCACAGTGTTGCCCACAGCGAACTTCTCGGTGTCCGTGGGCTCCTCCTCTTTGGTAGGTTCATCTTCCTTGGGGGCCTCTGCACCGCTGCTCTTCTTGACAAACTCGACAGCGCGGCTGACGCTGTCAGCAGGAGAGACCTTGGCGGCGATATCGCCCACAACGCCTCCCTTAAGAATGACGACGTGCGATCGCTGCACCTTGTTGCCAGGCAGTGAACTGCCAAAGTACGAGATGAGCTTGTGCTCCGGGTCACTTAGTAGATCGAAGGGCAGACTCTGCTTAGTCTTCCAGTTGGTCAAAGACTTGGGCGAGTCACCGCTTAGTCCGTAGACCGTGAAACCCGCGTCCTTGATGGTCTGGATGTTGTCTCGGAAGCCTACACAAAAGCAGGGTGAGTGTTTTGGTTGGTTTAACATAATGAGCAAATCTTAAAGGCTGGGAATCTTTCCACGGACGCACCACAGGCTTGTTTGGTGCAGCCGGGCGTGTTGGCACGAGGGTACATGAAGAAGACAACGCCCTGGTCGCGGAATGTGTCGGCGATCACGACCTCCTTCTCTTCCTGGTTGACCAGCGTCACATCCGTGGTCACAGACTTGCCCACGGCCAGATCGCTGGCGGCGGTCGTGGGCTTCTTGGCCGGGCGTTTGGACGCATCTGCGGTGGCCGAGCGCTTCTGCGGCAGCTCAGCGGCGGATGACGAGCCCGAGTTCGTGCGGCTGCGAGTGGACACCATGGGGAATGAGTAGCTTGGAGGAACTTGGACGAGGGCTTGACGTGTGCTGGCGTAGCTCTTCGAATGCTCGTCACCATCCGGATCGCTCGAGGTTCCATGGAGGTTGCAGGAAGGTGACCAAGTTGAACCAAGCTTCAACTAGTGTGGGCCACATGGGCCAATCACAGTATCACGCAAACCATTTTGAAGTGGGTTAAACTATCGTGGGTTTTTGTAAAATTGGGTGGTAACCGTTAATCTTTAATGTGGCCCACACAATTTTAGACCGTTGCGTCACTGGAACCCTGCATCTGGATTCGTCCAGCTCACAGCGTTTCGCCATTGTGATTAGCGCAGGCATCGCTGTTGTCCTTGCAACGGCAGAGCGCTCTGACTCCATCTCCTTAGCTGCCAATGGCCGACTTGAAACATTCTCCAAGAAGACATCAAGCTGCCAAGCTAGTTTTCTCAATCGTTTGCTTAAATCATAGCCATGCAGGCCTCGCAGCTCTTCGAATCTTTCATCTCGGCTTTCATGAACGTCCCGCAGGTGGATGGCCGCAATGCGCGCGTGCCGGTGGACCTGAGCGTCACCTCCAAGAAGGCCCGCACCCGCGTGCACACCAAGCAGAACGACGGCGCCTATTGGGCCTCCGTTCCGCAGCTGCCCGTGACAGCATCGTGCAGATAAACATCTCGCGACCAACAACCTGCTATCGGATCTCTGCAAACGTTGTGGTTGCGTCTGTGCGCCGACGTCAAGTGCGACACTGCTCCCGATCGTGTGCTGGTTGTATTTTATTTACTTCCCAGCTTTAGTCTCCCCGCTAGACTTTATCTAAATCGTAATGAATTGTAGATTGCATTGACGTTTTGGCTTCGTACAGATAGTTGAAGTGGATTGGTTTCATTTGCATGCGATGCTTTGCTTATTTCAGAATACACAATGCTACTTGCATCGAATATGCATACAGGAACTTCAATCAGCCTCAGTTCAATTGTGACGAGGCAGTTCCTCAGTCAGCAAGCACCGGGTAGGTGGCAGCGGTGGCAACACCGCACAGGTTGTCCTTCTGCGTGATCTTGATGTAGCCGTCCTCACCCCAATGCGTGCTCCACGAGTTCTTAACCTGTACATACAGCTTGGTTAGTTTGAGTCTAATCAAAATACCAACACTCAAAACAACCTTACCAGCGTGTACTTCTGGCCGTTGTGTGTGGTGACTCCGACCGCAAGAACCGAGTGGTCGAGGCTGTCCAGGTCGCTCTTGCACTCAACATCGTCGTAGTAGCCGCCGCCATAAAAGTAGAAGGACGGCAGCGACGCATCGATGGACACGGACAGCGGACCGATCGTCGCCAATGCATCATTGAGAGCTTGCACGCTCGTGACATTGACAAAGCCTTTCATGCGTCCGATCGCATTGTCGACGTTGAAGTGACAGTAGTCTGGTGCGTTGCGATACGCTCCATACGTTGCGGTGGTTTCGAGTCCACCATTGGCCATGATCCACTCATACGCCTGGTAGTCTAAGCCTCCGTCGCACGCGTTGTTGCCATAGTCCCATCTGTCAGTATACACCATAAATTAGCGATACAACTCAATATTCCATTACGGAAAATGCACATACGAGCAGTCCAGGAGGTTCTGTTGGGACATATTGTACAGCTTTTTCTGTTGAGCGAACAGAGCACCCTCCAAAGCGCCAGTCGTGCTAGTTACAAGCAAACAAAATTGTAATTGGTAAGATACGAAGAAGCATCATCAAAACGGATATTGCGAAGGATTTCGTACCCGAACGTCCAGCAAGACCCACAAGCACCTTGGTCCTTCACCGGCGTGACAGCTCCCTTCGTCCTCCAGTCCATGTCTCCAGGGTCCTCGAAACTCGTAAGCTCGTGCACAGCCATAGCACCGTTATCCTTGGCGCGTTTAACTCGCGACGGGCGATGCAGTGCCAGCCTCTCTTCGTGGCTTAGATCAGCGAACTTATTCACTTCCAGGTGATACGGCAGCCCCTGTCAATCACACCCACCAATTAGTATGTACGTCTTGATTATGAAACCAGCTCTTTCGTGTACCTTGCGATTCTCTCCATTGATGAAACGCAGGTTATGATGGAACGTTGCCATGCGTTGAACAGCCTCAGCGTCATCGTTATACTCCTTATCATGACTCGCAGAGAAGTTGTCGAAGAGCTCCTTCTTCACTGTTGAGCCTTCAGGCAGGAGCATGTGAATCTAACCAAGCAAGAAGCACGCATCAGTTTAAAACAGCGTCAACCCACATAATAATTGCATTAATAATGCACTTACATCTTGTTTGGGATTGCGCGACGGACCTCCATCGTCACCGGGCCTCTCTGTGCAGTTCATTGAAGCTGGCAGAAACGAGAAAATATCCTCGTCCACTGGACCTTCGCGCACGTAGATGTAGTCCAGATAGTATTCATCAATGTGGCTGCCACCAAGCATTCCGTTGCGTCCCACATAATGGAATCGTACTGGACGTTCAGTCTTTTGATCCACATACAGCGTGTACTCTCCCAACAATCCATCTTGCGTAGGTTCATGGAGTTTGGTGACGAATTTCCAGCTGAAGCACGGTCGACCTTCCACTAAGAACACGCCGTGTTGGGGTTCGAAGAGCGTCATATTGGGGAAAATGTGCTGCAACGACTCTGATCCAAACTTGAAGCATTTGCGTTCACGAATGACCGGGATGATCTGGTAGCTGGTTCCACTGGTGTTGAAGATGTACACGTCGGTGCCTCCATAGTAGCTGAGCTTCTGCAGACCTTTGGCTTCGTCCACGTGGACGTACAGAGGCTCTACCATGTTCATGTATGGCATATTGAAGTTGACGCTGGCTTCATATTGCGTCGGGAACATCGGTCGCTTGGTGGGCGAGAGGTGGCTAGCGTCCTCCACGGCGCGTAGGATGGCCAGAACGGCGATGAACCCGAGGATGCCTGTGGTCAGAGCGATGATGGCGCACCAGATCCTGCGCGACTTGCTACGCTGTCGACGGAGCACAGCACTCTCATGCTTCTCCAGGCGATGATATTCCGCGTCAGAGGCTGGGGGATACACGAATGAGCAACTTCAAGTCAATGAAAAAGCTAGAAGGAGAAAGAGATATGGGGCGAGCAAAGTATGGTTCGAAAGAGTAGAGAGCGAGGGTTTACATGGAAGCAGGCTTTCCGAGGCACTAGCCTCCAGGTCGTCGGAGGGGAGCGTCGTCTTGGACTTCTTCTTGCCCATATCAGTTCACTTGCCTTTCGTTCGCTTCTTCTCGGAATTGATATGAAGATCGCTGGCTTCAATTATCGGATTTTGACCAATAAATGATGCTAAAGAAGTATTCGTGGGTGGGATTGGTGGAAATACATGTTTGGCCGTTGAAAAGTAAAAAAGCAATTGTCGCCTCAAGATGAGCTCCTTGCGGAGTGTGCTGCGACCTGCACAGCGTGTGCTGCGACCTGCACAGCGTGTGCTGCAGTCGACGACTGCTCCATCAACGCAGCTGACCGTGTGTAATTTGAGTTCTTCGTCTTCTTCGCGCTTCGACCGGACCGCAAAGCTGACGGATGAGAGCGTCATGGAGCATCTCGTGTGTCCCATCTCCAAGTACCCGTTGCGGTACGACGCCAAGCGCGGTAGCCTCGTGTGCGACGAGATCAACGTGGAGTACCCAATCTGGCAAGGAATCCCTATGCTCGTGCCCTCTGAAGGACGCATTATCAACAGCGACCACCACTAGGAGGTTAGAAGTCTCCAACTGATGGCAAGAGCGAGGGACACAACGTAGATGCAGACAGACAGGAGACGAGAATAATAAGTTGTTATCATGAAACGCGTGACTGCCGGGGTTTTGTCTGTGCAGGGCATTGGAGACTTGAACTTGGTTCTTGTTGCCGGGGATTGCTGGAATATATCTACTGAATTACCAGCTCCGACGAGGCTGTCTATTGACTTGTTACTCGCCGACTTGCCGTCGCCTTTTGAATTCTTCTCTACGTACAGAGCTGCAATCCCGTTTAGTACACGTGACGCGCCGATCGTCGAGGATTGCGACGCACTGGAACGCTGGCAGGTTCCTTCCGTCGTTCTCTTGAACGGGAGATCGGTGTGCTAAACTCTTCGTCAATACGCTCCAGCTCCATGCCTTCTTCCAGTTCCTCCGTCGCCGGTGACATCGGATGGTCTGAATCTGAGTGTGCTACTTCAAGACGCGAATCGGTCAAGGGTTCGCGCACAAATTGATACCGCTTCGGAGTCTCCAGCACGGCAGAGTTGTCGGTACTTTCAGGGGGCGGCGTCGTTGCCTGCTGCACGGCTCGGTTCTCAGAGCTAGTAGTTGTTGAAGCTTCCGGTTCCTGGGATTCAACTGGAGAGCTATCGTCCGTCATACTTTCAGTATTGTGGGGCTTCAACGAGAAGTCTAAACAGTCAAAGACAAGCAAGCTAGCGTTAACACAACAGCAACAATCATCAATCACCGCAGTGTTTATCTCACCGTCCGGCGAGCCTGCAGCTTTCGGGGGAGTTAAAGAGGTGGCAGCGAAGGTAGGGTTGATCTTGGACCGAACTGGCGGCGTGCCAAGCGGACGGCGATCTACACATAGGAATTGATGCGCATCAGTTAGCTTTATAAGCGTAAAAAAAATCAAACCAATGAATTAGTCTTTCTTACCGCCAAGCGGGGACACCAGAGGCTGCAACGGGGTAGAAGGTGCGCTGGAAGGCTTAGCTGGAGACGATCCAAAATTAAGGGCTTGGCGAGCAATACCGCGGGATGTAGTAGATGTCTCGACAGGGTTCGGCCGGGTGAGCGCGTGCAGGGAAGAGTCTGGGCTCGAGTCGATGGACCCGATACTAATGTCTGTAGCGCTAGCTTTTCCCTTCCCTTTGCCTTTCGTTGGTGTCGGAGTCTTCACGTCAGCTACAAGCGGCGCAGGCGACTCAACAGATCGCGTTGTAACACTAGACCCTTGTCGAGTCGAGAAGATGCCTGGCGAGTAGTCGAACTCGCCAGCCTCTGCCATTTCCTGGAAGTGTGTCAAATGCTCCGTCTGAGCCGAGACGAAGGCGCTCGCGGTCGAAGCCATCTCTTTCTCCTCACTGTGGATATCTGTGGTACTTGGTTTGTCTTGTGTAGGAGCAGGGGATGTTGGTGTTTCGTGATCCGATGCATCCTCCATCTCCTCATTCTCCAACACAGCCGGCTTGGCGTGACGATGTGGATCTCCCGATCGCACATTCCTACTTTTGTGCGGGTATGACTTCGCGGGAGGCTCAGCGCACATGTTTGACAGCAACGACGCTCGGATACGCAAGCTTGGTTGGTTCAACGCAGCCATCGCGATCTCAGTATCACCACGAGACATAGCTCGAATCAGCGCCAAGTGTTCGTGATGAACATCCCAGGCCTGCTCATACTTATTTCTGAGAATATAGTACATCACGAGGAAGTCTACGCGCTTGATGCTCTCGTCTCGAAGAACATCCTCGTCCTCTACGATATTACTCTCCATCATGTAAGTATGGAAGAGCTTCTCCTCCGAAGGCAACAGCGTCACTCCCTGAACCAGTTCCTTTAGCCGATGGCTCTTCATCAACCAGTTGAACAACAAGTCCAGCAGATCCGAGCGCTTTTGACTGCGGATCAGCGATAACGCACGTTCCCACAGATCCAACTCCAATGAAATAACAACAACCAACTCCGTCGCTGCTGGCGGAGATTGCTCTAACTCGACTCCAAACGTGTTCCACACTTTCCACGCCACGAGACTCTCACCTCGATGGACCAACGTCTCGAGCAAATGAAGAATCAGATCGGCTTCCAGGTCGTATTTCTGGTGTAAATGCATCGCGCTCGATTGCTGCAAAAGACCAATAGCATGTTCGTAAATGGCGGCCACCTGGTCGTCCCCCGAAGTCTTTACTACAACTGCGTTCTCCACCAGCCATAGAGCCAGCAACGTCAACTTCATATCATCACGCACATTCAACTGAGCTGCAAGAGAATCAGCCAATGAGCGCATTTTGTTCGCAATTCGAGCACCGCTTTGTGTATGCTGCTTCCACACACTCAGATAGGCTCTATCGAGGCAGAAATACAGCAGCAATGCCACCTGTACTCGAAAATATCCTTCAATAGGCTCGCGATCCACTTCGTCGCCGTAAAACTGAACCACATCTTTCTGGATTGTCGGCGTTCGCAGCAGCTCCAGCAGCTGTCCCAGTTGGGTAGGTGGACAGCTTCCTCCAAGATTTTCCAGCGAGATATTCGCGCTCTTCATCACGTGCTCAATCAACAGCATTGGTTCCTTTAATCCGCCCACAGATGATAGCTTATTCCCGTAAATTTCCTCAAATTGTTCGCGGTACGTGACGCGCAGTGACCTCGCTTGGCTGTAAAACGCGTTGTACATCTCGCTGTCCGCTGTAATTTCGTTCTCGTTAAGCCACAGCATGCAGTTGCAAGCGCATGTGACGCTCTGTGTACGAGCGAGCAATTGCAGCAAGTTCTGGATGCCTGCAGTAGTTAGTCGCATGAGTTCCGTATCATTCAGTCCGTTGCCGTCAGCATCGACTCCGTTGGAGCTATATGCAGCCTGACGAGAGCCTTCTTTAAGCCTCTCCGTTAGTGCAATCAAGATCATACGCAAACCATTTAGCTGCCGCAGTTCTTCCTCCACAGCTTCTAGTTGGGCATCGCGTGGTGACTCGCGGCCGCTGTACTGCTGCTCACTGATCATCTCGTTAACACCCTGCTCGATGGCCTCAAGACGACGACGCGCCCATTGCTGCACTGCGATTGGCTCCTTCAGCACGTAGTTCTTGACACCAGCAAAGGCGCCTTCGGGCTGTGATTGTGCCTCCTCGGCCCGGATATAGGACACCACGAGGTGTGTCAGGCCGCTCTTTAGGCAGACGTCGAAGAGAGCGCTGCGCTGTATGAGATGCTGGGCGCCAGAGTGCCCTCCATGCAGCGAAGCGTCCACATTGGCGCGACGGAAGACACCCGATACAGAGAAGAACTCGAAGGTCTCAGCAGGCTCCACGAACGGCTGCCAGCCGAACTCGGCGAAGCGCTCAAACACCTGCAGAGACAGAGATGCAATAGCGAGCAGTTAGAAGCTACTGAGAGAGGGTGGACGACTAGAGCGGGACGCACCGGAAGGAGCATCATTCTTTCCCCTCCAACGCGGCTTGTGCGCCAAGAGGCTCCCACGCTTGAATGCGCCTTACAAACACCAAGACGATTGGAATGCATACAAAGATGTAGTGAATAAGTATTACCCTTGATTATTGGATGACGTAATGAAATGATTGTGCTGATATAAAATATAGAAGGTGGTAAAGTACCCATGTTGAAATGATTGCAACATGTTGGAAGTGTGCAAGTCCTTCCGAAAGGCTTGCCATTCTTTTGCTGTTGACGTCACTGTGTGGCTGCGGGAAATGCAGAGTTGAGAACGATAAATAAGTGCAGCGACTCTATTGCTTTCCTACGGTAATAACTGAACGAACCAATTGTGGCACGACCTAGCTAACTCTTCCCTTAAGTTTACCTAGCCAAAAGTGTGCCTGTCCGTGTAAGCTGCTGCGTCCGCCTTGATGTCGTGGTCGTGGTGGCAGGCGATACCATCATCCATGCTAGCACGAGAGTCGCTGGTCCTCGGTTCCTCGCGGCACATAGGGCAGTGAGTGTTGCCCTGCAGCCATTCGAGCAGGCATTCCTCGTGGAAGGCGTGCAGGCACGGCAACTTGACCACGTTCATGCCGATGCACTCTTCGTCATCCCATTCGCCAAGACAGATACTGCAGCAATCGCTAGTGCTGAGACCCTCAACGGCTTCGAGTAGGTTGCTCCGGGAGTCCACGACCACGTCCTCGAGCGATAATACGGCCAGCTTTAGCTTGGTCTCGCTCTCGATCTGCTTGTCCGGGTACTCGAGGAAGTCGCGTAGGATCGTGTATAGTGTCAGTAGCTGCTTGGCCTCAGCTGTCGTTGCTGACTCATCAGTACCAGCAACATCAGCCGTCATGGGGATACTGGCGATGATCTTCACCAGCGACTGTACGAACGTCTCTAGTGCCGCTCGGCGCTCGGCGATGATCATGTTGTTATCACAGCGGAAGTGGCGGCGCGGGAATGGAGCCTCAAGGGTCTTGTCCAGCGCCAACAGTGGGGAAGTCCAGTCGACCACAGTGCCGTGTTGCTTGTATTGCTTGAGGAACTTGCGTAGCTGCTGACGCACGGCGTAGAATTCCGAGTAACGTTTGGCGATGCTCCACTTGTTGCGTGTGCTGCGGAAAGATATGTCCATTTGGTACATGATGGCGGGCGCAGCTACGCCGCCGGCCAGCGCCACCTGCGTGCTTATGTTGAGGGAGTTCTTGGTCGTCTCGCACACGCGCTGCAGGCGCTGCAGATGGATGCTCGTGTCCGTCATAATGGTATTGAAGTTACCAGTACCGGAGTACTCAGCTTTGATTTGCTTGCCAACGGAAGTTTTGCTTGCTCGCCGAGGGGCCTTTTGCCGAATGAGCTCGATGTCGCACGAGGTAGCCGTTGAGAAGCGCCGAGATGTGCCACCGAGTAGCAGGAAGCTTGACTTGTGGCTCGCAAACAGTGGCCTCTATGCACGTGATGGGTGGCGTAGTTAGTGTAGGCTGTCGCACAAATTATATCGTCTTTGGCCTCGATGAGAGGGTACGCAGGCGGCTTCTTGAGGTTGATGCTGTTTCGGAACTGAAGACGAGGAGATCAAGAATACCGACAGTGATCACATGTGTATCTTCCAAGTGTATGTATTTTCGGCGCGTCGTTCTGGGCGGGCCGAGCAACAACTCTTGCAGAAGCTTTCTAGCAACGAGCTGCGGGTTGGTTATCAGCGCTGGAGGTCGTGGCAGATGCAGATGCAGATCAATATATCGCAGCAAGCACCACCATCGCAGACTGCGTCTCGCAGCAAGCCATCAAGGAAATAAGAACCCATGAGTTCCTCGGCGTCTCTGCCAACATTATCGAGCATGGAGAGTCTCCAAGTAATTGACATTGTTCGGCAAAAGGTGCAACGCGAACGAAACGGCCACTGAGTCTAGCCGATCTAGTACGCCGTATATCGCTTCAGCTTCTCTGACAAGTCGGACAAGGACTGCAGCGTTGCAAAGCTTTAGGATACTGAACGCAATAAACACTTGCGCGTCGCTGGCTTCAGCGTTGCACGCGGTTGGCGCAGCAAATAGACACGATGCATGTTGCCTTCGGCAAGCTTTGCCTTGCCTTGGTGCGATAGTCGACTTCACAAGTCCGCGATAAACCATGTCTCGCTATGATATGCCACCTATCACCCGAAAGTGATTTTTGAGGCAAAACTTTAAATGTCGCGCAATATGTGCACCACATTGGTGGTACCTTCGCGCTACATCATGCCGGCTACGCGTCTCAACAGGATAGCCAGATACAACGAGGGCGGCATCATGAACAAGTACGTGCCACCTAAGACAGTGCCGCAGCGACGGCGGCAGGAGCCGAAACTGCAAACAAGCAGCGCACTGTACTGATACCGTGTACGATGTTTTGTATGCGACAGCGACGAGATGGACGCGGCGCTGATGGTGTTTGTGAACTGCCTGGGGGCTGTGATCATGATCTCGGTAGTGGGATTCCACTACCTCACGGCCAAGCCCAAGGACGCAGAGCTTTAGGCGGATAGAACACAAAGTTGAAGCAGGTATGTGCAATGTGCCTATGCAAGAGCTAATGACGCCATACACCACCGACTCACACATCAGCTACCCATTTACCTTTCTTCCTGCTGGTACAGTTACGCCTCCTCGCTGGCATAAATGCATGTCATGCGTTGATGAACCTGGACACTCTGCGTTAAGAGCACAGGGTTCGACTTGCGCAAGAAATGGCAGGCTCTTCGACACGGGCAGCAACTGAGATGGAGACTTGGGCAGAGAGGACTCATCATGAGGCAGTATAGTTCGCTTTGTTAGCATTTCATCTGCATGTATTAACGTTGAAAGATTTTTCTACACGTATGCATTATACGCTGCCGAGTGCCTTCGCTTATAGATGTTCCTCCCAGCACGTCAAGTTCACAGTACTCACTACTGTACCATTGCACTGCAGGTATGACCGAAGAGCTTCGTACTTATCGGAGACTTGGTCTGAAGTTGCGGTTAAGTAGCCGAGCACTGTAATCATTCCTCCCACTGGAGTCGTCAACATCATGAGCACCGGACGCGTTAAGGTACTGTGTGAGCGCATTATGAGCCGCGGCTACGAGCCGCGCGTTGCTCGCCTCATGGAGAACGTCAAGGCCACAGTGCGTGCGCAGCCCGGCTTCATCTCCATCGACACGTACGCGCAGGTGGACGACCACACCAAATACGTCGTGTTCTCCGAGGTAATCAGATTCATGAAGGTTAGAGTTCAAGCCACATCTAATCTGTCGTTGCGTGCTGTTAGTGGGAGTCGAAGAAGGACTTTGATAAGTGGCTGGCCAGCAAGGAGTTCCAGGAATGCACGCAGCAGATCAACGAGCTTCTGGACGTGCCGGGGTTGCACATGCGCATCTTCAAGACCCCCAAAGAAGACGTCTTCCTCCTCTGAAGTGTCCGGCGATAGCAATGCTTTTTCACGAGAAATACACATGACACGATAAGCACTTCCTTGCGGTCTAGATTGCACGTATACCTCAGTGTGTGTCAAATTTGTTCACTGTTTTCCATGGTCTCCAAGCTCTCTACAACGGCCACATCATGTTACGTCTAGAGGCTCGCTGTTTTGGCCATAAACAACGCTCTGGAAAGCCCTGCAGTAGTCAAAATCGAGGGCTGAAGCCACTGTACATCCTTTTGTCACTTGTGCTGTCGACGCTTGGTCGTCTAGGAAGACCCGTCCGTCTTGCTCTTAATAAAACTCTTTATCCGATCAACAGTGTCCCGCACCGACTTGGTGAACGAGTGCGGCTTGCTGTCCGGGTCCTCACCCTTCTCCGCGCGTTCGTTCTCCTCCTGCAAGAACTCCTCCATCAATTCTTCCTGTCGCTGCGATAAGTTCCTGTAAAATTTCAAAACACGTTAGCACTGTTACCGCTAATCCATCGCACAAACTGAAAGAATAATACGTACTTCGGAACGCAAACTTGGAGATTCACAAGCTGCGAGCCACGGCGGTTTGAGTTGAGCTCCTTAATACCCTTTCCACGCATCTGCAACACCGTATCGGGTTGTGTTCCTCGCGGGATTTTCATCTCCACTTCGCCTGTCAACGTTGGCACCACTACCGTGCCACCCAATACTGCCTGTGCAACCGAGATAGGCACGTCCACGAGCACATCCGTTTTACGACGCTTGAAGAACGGGTCTGGCAGTACGTGGATGCCCACGTACAAGTGTCCTGCTGGTCCACCGCGTTGGCCAGGCTCACCCTGGTGTGCAAGACGGAGGTTCATGCCCTGGTCCACACCTTCGGGGATCTTCACTTCCACCGTACGCGGCTTCTTGACCGTGCCCTTACCGTGGCATTTACCACATGGGGACTCGATAATTGATCCCTCGCCGCGGCAGCGACGGCATGGAGTCTCCACTGCGAAGAATCCTTGCTGCATGATCTGCACACCGGATCCATTGCACGTAGAGCACGTTTTCTTCGAGGTGCCCGGTTTGGCACCAGATCCGTCGCATGTATCACACTCGACATTGGCCGTGATGTTCAAGTCGCGCGTGGTGCCTTTAACCGCCTCCATAAAATTGAGTGTGATGTCCACCTGAATGTCAGCGCCGCGTTGTGGCTGGTTGGCGCTGCGGCGTGAGCGTCCACCGAAGCCCTGACCACCGAAAAACTCTCCGAAGATGTCCTCAAAGCCCTGTCCATGGAAGCCTTCGGCGCCACCGAAGCCCGCCTGCTCATCTACGCCGGCGTGGCCATAGGCGTCGTACTTTTGACGCTTGTCATCATCTCCAAGGATCTCCCAAGCCTCAGTGGCCTCCGCGAACTTCTTGGCTGCGTTCGGATCCGCCTTGTTAGTGTCCGGGTGGTACTTCTTAGCTAGCTGATAGTATTTCTTCTTGATCTCATTCTTGCTGGCGTCACGTGAGACCCCAAGCACGTCGTAGAAGTCGCGCTTGCTGGGCTCCATAGCGGCGCGCGTGCTGTGGAACGTCGCGCACTGTTCCAACAGCGCCGACGCGCCATACGTCAACGTGGTCGGCCGCCGCGTCTGCGCACCAAGAGCGCGCACCGCCGCCGAGCGCAGCAGCACCGATCGCAACGCCATCACCTCGAGAGTAAGTTAGGGAATGCAATCGAATCGTGTGGACCCGATAACACGCTTCTAGAATCTATCAGATCTTTTTAGCCAATTATATAGTTATTTAAACTTAATTGGTGGAAAATTGGCTATCTGTGACGTGTGAGAACCGTAACCACCAGAACGACGCGAATGGGATTGGGAATCCCAATTTGGGATTGAAGAGTCTTATACTTGCTAAAAAGACTAGAAGAGGAAGATGTCAGACTCCGACCCGGAGACGGTAAATGCTGACGTACAGGATCTGGCGGAGCCGATCGAGATGGGTGTATATGACCCTGCCGTCGGTGAGACTGAAGAAGGTGAGGAGACTGACCAGGCTGGTGCGATGGATCCCCAAGAGAGTGACGAGAGTGAAGAGGACGATAGTGATGATGACGACGATGACGATGAGGAAGAGGACCCGACACAGACTATCGTGGATATGGGTCGACACGAGCGCATGCAGCGCATCCAGAAGGTGTTGTATGAGCAGCTCGTGGGCAACGACGAGCGCTTGTCGCTGGAGCTCCGCGAGAAGGAAGAGGAGCTCCGTCGTGCCAAGACTGCGCGTGAAGACGTAGGTGTTGCACTATATGGAGTACAGCAACAACTCGCACAGTTACAAGTCGCACTTGAGGCAGCACATCGTCGGCTCACGACTCTGCATGATGAACGATTCTCGAGTGAAGACAAACTTGACGAGTGGAAAGCGAGTGCAGAAGAGAAGAAGCTCGCAGTCGAACGTCGTCGCGCGCACTTACACAAAACACAGGCAGAGCTCGACTCTCTGAATGCAACACTACGGCAGGTCGAGAAATACAATGAGGAGATGAAGCACGAGATCGCACGCACACAACGAGCCGCTGAGAAGGCCGAGGAGTCGATGACTGTAGCCGAGAAGGATAAAGTAAAGCAAGATCTGTACATTGATCGGCTGAATGAGAAGGTGAAGACACTACAAGAGCAATTGGCAGCCAATGCATCGCAGCTTAAGACGCAGCGAATGGAAACGCAAGCTGCTGAGGAAACGCTGCGCGAGGCAGCGGCTCAGATGGAGGCTGTTGCGTTTGAGAAGAAGCAGCTTCTGCAGCAGTGGAAGAGTGCGCTTATCGGTATGCAGCAGCGTGACACCGCCCTTCAGGCCACGCAGGCCGCTATCTCCAAGGTGGTTGAGGACGAGCTAGCGCTAAGTGCTGAGCAGCGTGGCTATAAAATCTCAATCGAGAAGGCCCAGCAAGCTCATGAGACTCTGATCGCTACTATCGAGCGCTTCAACGCTGAGTTACGCTTTGTAGAGGAGCAAACGGAGAACTTGCGAGCTGAACATGAGCGCCTTGCAGCTCGCCATGAACTGCTAGCCAAGTCTCTTAAACAGACAGAAGCTCAGGTTTCTTCTGCTGCAGCGGAAGGCAAGAAACTAGAGTCAGAGGCGGCCCAGGTAGCGCAGCACTTGGATACGACCCAGCGTGAACGTCACTTGCTTGAAGACGAAATAGCCGCTGAGAAGAATGACCAGACCACAGTACACAAGGCTGCACACAATCTCACCAAGGAGACCCAGCGTCTTGTGGCACGAGTGCACGAGAAAGAAGTAGAGCTGGCGAATCTACGCAACGAGATGGCTCGGGTTGGAGTGGACGCTCTCAATGTGCAGAACCACACCGCGCAACTTGCAGAGGCGCAACGAGCGCTTGTCGAAGAGCTCAAGCGAGATGATCAACGTGTAGAGCGTGCCGAGCTTGAGATCCGTCAGCGTAACGATGAGATCGAAAAGAAGATGCTGCGTCTGGATCGACTTAACAGGAAATACGAGCAGCTAGTGAGTAAGATGGAGGATGCAGACACAGGTCCACTGGAAGCGACTATCAAGAATCTAGTTCGTGAGACCAAGATTGGCAGGGAAGACAACACAGCGAAGCAGAAGCTGTGGCTCAATACTCAAACAGCTCTTGTACATGCTGCCAGCGAGGCTCAAGAGTTAAGTGAACGCAACCAGGAGCGTAAGAGTAAGACTAGCGTTCTGGAACAGAAACAACTGCGTCTTCAACATGAGCTGCACGAAATGCAGCGTGAACTTCGAGACCTCTCGAACGGAATAGCATCGCTGCACGCAGACACTGGAAGGTTGAATGATCTCATTGCACGCCAAGGTTCACGTCACGATGACTTGCTTAACAGTAATCATGCACTCGAACTCGAGTTTGCCAGTGAGTTACGAGAACTTGAGGCTGCATCCGTATCAATGGAGGCACGTGCTGCTGCATTACGTCAAGAAAAGCAGGGATTACTGGACCGTGTGGTGGAGGTTGAGCGACAGCTCATGCTCTGGGAGAAGAAGATTCAATTGGAGAAGGAGACGCAGGCTGCTCTTGACCCTGAAGTTGGTCAGGCTGAGGCACGTAGTATGGAGAAGGAGATCCATCGTATGCGTCTACGTCTTGAGGCCTTGCAACGTAGCCAAGAGCAAATGCTGCAAGATATGGAGCAAGCTGTGCACAAACGCGACGTCATTGCGCTTCGTGGCCGAAGTAAGAAAGAACAGGAGGCTGACCTCACGTTTGCTGCTCTTACAGCGAAGGTGTCCACGCTGCAGAATCAACTACGCAAAAGTGAGCGCGATGCTGCTAGACTGGACAAGACTATTCGCAAACAACTCGTTGCCGGTGAAGATGTCTCTTTCCAACTGGAGAAAATTTCGGCTGAGCTTAAGGTTGACGAAGAGCGTGGATTGTCACTGCAACGCGCGATTAATGCTGCACTCTACGATAAACAGCGATACATTGACGCCACAGCACGTAAATTACGCATGACAACGCGATTCGACTCTCTTTGCCGAGGTGTGGGCAGTGGACCTGCCAATGAAACACAAGCAGTACAAGCTTTGGAGAAGGCGAAGGAAGGCGTCGAAAAAGTCCGAGCAATTGTTGCCATGCTCCAGAAACAGAACCCGCACTTGGCTGAGGTGCTTCCCCGCGTTTTATTACTTGCTGAAGACCCACCACCGATGGACAAGTAGGGCGTTCAGTTGGATAATATCCACCTTGTGTGCATTTGGATTTTTAGCTTCTCCGTCGGTCACGTAGTGCTTCGAGAAACCTACTCAGCTTAAGTGCAAGATCCTCGAAATGTGGAATACCGCTCGTATTCAATGCTCTCATGAAGCGTGGAGTTCTCAGGTACATGCTGTTTGATAGATCAACAGTGATGTTAGTGAATAATGCCAACTAATAATTAATACAAATGCACTTACTTGATGTAGTCTTTTCGGGTTCGCAGGAGTATTGCCAGCACTTGGTCGCTACCTGAAGCTACGTCGCACCTTACTAGCAGATCCAGAACAGTCACACATCGCCAGAGTGCTAACATCTGAGATGGTTCCAAGCCTTCTCTACAGTCAACATCGTCCTCTTCGTCCTCTGTTTCCTCTTGTTCACTGTATTGAACTTCCTCAATCTCGCGCTTTTCGTGTCGCTCAATTGCGATTACTGCTCGCGATACTGCTATGCAGACTCTCTCGAAGAATTTAGGAAGCCATTCTGCAAATGTCGGTGCTCGAATAGCTTGCTGCATGACGGACGTAGACCTCTCGATCAATAAGCCCCTCATTTGCTGATGTTGATGCGAACGAAAGTCCTCGTACTGCTGCATTGCATCAAGTGCAAGAAGAACAGCAGCTTGGGCGTCGATGAAATCCTCTCGCACCACATGTTCATCGACAGAACCATCTTCGGCTTTATCGTAGCTCTCCACGCCACGAGCAAGTAGATTGCGTACTAACTCGTTCGGTGCCAGCACATCGAAGCAACTCGTTCGTAGTTGCATGTCGAAACACATAGCACTGAATACACGTGCAATACTGAGTAGGAAATCCACTCTCGCTTCGATATTCTCGCTTCGACGAAGTGGAAGCGAAAGATGACGAGCTAATAGGGCAACTAGACCGATACAGCCCGAGACTTGTGTACGATCTTCAAAGAAAAGCTGTCTCAATTCGTCCGAAGAATACGCAGCTGTAGTGAGCTCATCAATTAAGTGAGCACGCTCAACGTCGTCACGTGCACGAACTAGATCCAGCACAAACAGTTCTAACAAATTCGTCAACTCTAGACGCTGTTCTTTCGATGAAGTGTCTGTAGTTTGAAGTTGCGGAATCAACTGTCTCTGAAAGATCACAAACGTTTACAGTTCGTCACACCTTAAAGTCTGATACTTCGATACCAACGCAAAACTAACCTGAAAGTCTACGCGCAATGCTCTTGAAATCTGAAAGAAGAGTTGAGTCTGCGGCTCAAACGTCGAGAAGAACAACTCCGTCGGTATTTTCTTAGACTTCACCTCTCGCAATTGTAATCGAAACAGTTGGCTGGTCGGGAGCAGTAGCAAACCTTTTTGCTTCTTGCTGGAAGGCAGTACTCGCTCCACCATGGCAATACTCCGTAGTGGTACGCACATATCCGGATCAGCTTCTCTTCGACTCATAAGAGGCACAATGAACAGCGTATCGCTGCTCAGAGCGAACAAGTGGAACTGCCCAGTGCTCACCACTGCAGCTTCATGGTATCTCAGCTTCTGGAATCTCTCTGAGCCAAGTCTAGCTCGCAGTCGCTCAGGGTCTAAATGTCTTGGTCGACACAACGTTGGAGAATGCATATGCAACCGAAATATGAAAAGCAAAAGTGACAAGCAAGGCCCTGGACTCTCGAGGCTCTGTTCTGGTCTATTGAGAGTATTAATACATCCACCGATCATTCGTCTTCAGTCTCTACGTCGTCCTCGTCTTCCTCCTCTTGGCTGCTGTCGTCCCCATCGACCTCCACCTCCTCTTCTCCTTCGTGGTACACCACAGCGGCACGCGTCTCGTCATCTTCCTGTTCATTGCTGCCGTTGTTGACGTGGATCTGGCCCAGCACCAGTGCCAGACGACCGGACAACTTCTGCATCTGCTCATGCACCTGCAATCTCGTCTCCAAGAGCTGGTACAGCGCTGACAGACTAGGCACAAGATCAGGCTGTGCCACCAGGTATGCCGTGTGATGCAGCAGCACCGCACGCAGCCACGGACACAGACGTGCAAAGCGGTTCGGCGAGCGTTCCAGCTTCCGAACGATCACCTCCAACAGCGCCAGCACACGCGAAGCAGGCACACGAGCCACAGTCTTGGTCACCACCTTAATGTCACGTGTACGCAGGCAGTACTCAAGCAGAGCGTTGTCACGTGCCTGCAGTGCCTGCTCTAGAACACTAGCAAGCGACGAAGCATCAGGCTTATTGTCGCGGTCCTTATCCTCCGGGCTGTCAGCCTCGCGCTCCGCACGGCTAAGAGCAGCAGTCACGTCACCCTCCACGCGTTCACGCAGAGCCTCGACACGCTCAGCGAGCGTCAACTCGTCCTCTTCATCCTCTTCACCGTCCAGGTCCTCAAAGCTGGTAGTGTCGTCCACGACTGCCATGGAGTTGGCCAGTGCACGACGTTCACTCAGTGTCGGCACGTGGGTCTTCTCATCTTCAGCAGTAGATTCCACCTTCTGCCGCTTGCCGTTCTTGTCGGCACGTTCAGCAGTGAGCAGCAGCGCGTCACTGATCTCAGCAAACTCGAGCTCCTTCTTCCATTGACTCGGAGCGTTCTCCTCCACTGGAGAGACTGTCTCAAACACAGGTTTAACGAGAGATCCACGAGCGACGAGCACCTCCGTCTTGTCCTCCTGCGTACTGAGTTCGGCCAATAGAATACCAGCGCTCTCAGCCGTCGAGAGCGTGGGCGGCAGCGGCTTGGATGCCAGTGCCAGCTCTGACGCGTCGTCCACCTGTTGGTACTTGTGTGTCCACAGGAACATGGCACCGGCTGCAGCCGTGGCACCTACCAGAAGATCAATCACAGGCTTCGCAGCCTCCTTTTCCTTCTTACTCTTCTTACTCTTCTTGCTCTTCTTCGTCACGGCCTCGCCCACCGAAGCGCGAGCAAACACAGTGTCAGCACTGCTGGGCAGACTGAACGTAAGCGCCGGCGCGTCGTGCTCCGTCAGCTCCAGGTCGTACATGTTGACGAAACGTGCGCCGGCTGTGGCAGCGAACAGGAACCTGGACGACTCGATACCGGTTTCTACGTTGGCAAACCGCAGCTGCGTCACGGCGGACGATAGGCCTGACACGAGCTTCCTGCTCTTCTTGCCTGAGGACAGATCGAACGTACGCAGCGCCGAGCCGCCGGCCGCCAGAATCTCTCCGTCAGCCGAGACTGCGAGTGCCGACGCGCCGCCCGATCCGCAGCGGAACTTACGCTCCACTTTACCACTGCTTACATTCCATTCGAGCACGTGCTTGTCACTCGAGCTCGAGTACAACAGCGATCCCTGAGGGTTAAAGGCCAGAGCCTGTACGGCGCCCGAACCGTGTGCAGCGTCCGCCTGCAGCGTATGCTTGACTTCGCCCGTAGCCAAATCCCAGACCACGATGACGCCGCTGTTCGTACCTAAAGCTAACAGTCCAAGGTCGCTATCGCCGCTGCGTTTCTTGCTCTTGGTCTTAGGCTGTGTCCAAGCCAGACTCGTGTACCGGTAGCTAAGGTGGTCGCGCTCCTTAAGCTCCTGCTGCAACGCACCATTGGCCACGTCCCACACTTTGAGGCGGCTGTCCTCGGACACGGCCGCGAAGTGCGTCTGCGAGTCGGCGAAGAGCTGCATGGCGAAAGAGCCAAGTCGGGTAGTGATGCTGGCTGGAGCTCCCAGAGCCAATTCTACTGGAGCAGAGCAGTCCAAGTCGAAATGAGAGGTAGTCAATATGGAAGGGTTTTGATGTGGTGTATTGATTTGGTGTGGTGTACATGAAATTTGTGACGTGGTACAGATTTTTTATGTTGAAGTTATCGCGATGAAAGCAAGCGTTGAGGAATCGCGTAGGGCGATAATTTAGGCGGTGAGGCTTTGACGGGGGATGCAGAGCGTACTTCCTCGCTGTCAGTCTTTGAAGCTGCTGTACATCTAGGAGATTGCGCGAGGGTTGGAGAGAAAGTTGCTTTTGGGATCGTTGGCGAGCGTCTTGAATGGTGTTGGAACTCCTCGCTGACACTTGGTGCTTCAGATGCTGTTGTGGTTACTTGTAGCTGCGATTGATCTCGAGTGGCGCGGGTTATTGACAGTGCTGACGGATTAAGTGTTGATTCCTTGGGTGGAGATGGCTCGGTGTTGTAAGGCAGCAACTTCGTGCGGTAGCCACCACCAACCCGCTTGATGGACATTGGCCTTCGGGGTCTTTGCGCGGGAGTGGGTTTTGATGGTGGAGGCTGTGGAGCAATCGGCTGAGTGTTAAATGCCGGATCTACTGGCTCGATGGTTGAGGAGGATGTGGAGTTAGTGGGGAATGGACTCTCGCTGTCTTCTTCCTCAGAGAAAAGAAGATCCAAACTGATCCCTCTACTTAATGCCTCAGCCATGATCTTCTCGTCGGCGGAAAGTTCGCTTGGTCGTTCATATGACCTTGTTTCATCGCCCTCATCTTCGCTTTCATCCTCGTCCTCTTCATCTTCGGCACACGTAGCGAGTGCAGCATGTTGACGCGCTTCTTGAACGACTTTCAGACGTTTACGCGCTTGTCGTTGAAGAACTGTAGCTGCTGAGTACATCTCACGCTCACGACGTTCTTCTGCTTCTCTGGCCCGGCGCTCACGCTCCCGTTCTAACTGTTGTCGCGCAACATAGCCTTGCATTGCGCGCTGTAACATCGACGCCGCTTCGTGTGCGTCCCGCATTTGCCTCAGCACTCGAGCCACTCGCCGTGCAAGGGTACCTCGAATCACTTTTTGCACTGTAATTGCAGCAGCATTCTCTCGAGCGCGTTCATCTGCTCGTTTTGCTGCTTGGTGCATTTGCCAAATGCGACGCTGACGAGCTGCTTCACGCTGAATTCGTCTCTGCTTTCGCTTCGCGTCATCTTCCAGTAGATACTGCTCTCTCGCCCGCAGTTTTTCCAACTTGTCCTCTAACAATCGAGCTCGTTGAGCTGTGCGCTCCACCACGCGCGAGTAGTTCTCCAACGACCCGTTTTCGTACATGATTTCGTGAAACTGCGACGTGAATTTCACGCTCCGGGGAAAAGAGAACACGTCCATCGCTCGGTGGGAGTCAATCTGAACGCCCACATTTCCAGGTCGTGCAGTCAACAACAACGGCAGCTTCAAACTTGTTGAGGAGGTAGAAGTTGATGACAGGGATCCTGGAAAGCTCGCAGCTCGAGTTTCATCTCGCTTTGCCATGAGGAACCTAACTAACAGCACGCAAACTGCGTTGCGAGTCAAAAGCGGTGCTTTACACACAAAAACTATATTTTTGTAAGCGTCTTCGCTTCACTAATTATACATGACGTGCTTGTCAAGTGCCTATCTCGTCAAGGCTTCAGTGTCTCCACATCAGTCTTTTCATCAACCTCTTCGTCGCTACTGCTGTCATCGCTCGACTCTTCTCCACTAGACGATTCCTCCTCACTGTCGTCGTAGGATTCCGAGTCAGAGCTGGAAGTTGCTTCACCTTCATTATCATCGGCTTCAAAGAGACTTTTTTCGAGCTCTTCCAAGGCCCAGCCTGTTTCACTCTTTGTGAACGCAGCGATGTGGGTATCCAGCGTGGCACTAACACGCTGAAGACGTTCATCACTGACAGACTGGATCCACACGCAGTAGTCCTGAATGTAGAGCGAGTTGAGCAGATACTGCGTCTCGGACTTCTCGACAATTCGGTGCAGTGTCAGCAGCGCCCGAAGTACGACACGCTTCCCACGCTTCAAGATCTCGCTCGCTTCACGCATACAGCGCATGGCCAGATCGTATTGCCGCAAGAATGGAAACGTGATCATACGACGTACAGTTGAGCGTACAACGGCGCGCAGGTCTGCGTTCGAGTCCAGCCACGACAACGTCGGGCTCACAATGCTCACCGTCCAAGTGGACTCCACTCCACTGTCGCCCTGGGTAGTCAACTGCTCGTAAGCAAAGCCGATGAGGATATCGACGAGACCTCCGACTACCAATTTCTCTTCGGGGCTCCCCTCTGGAAGCAGAAACTCTTTTCGAGGAAGTCGAAGCAATAATTCCTGCTCTGCATCAGTAAATGTGACCGATGACTCCGAGGAAGGCGCTGGAGGAGGTTGAAGTGCAGTGGTGTCCAGCGACATAATCTTGATGTTGTCACTCACACAGTTGACGTCCGGGTCAACCTCGACAATTAGAGGTTTCGTCGTCTTCACTTCTGTAATAGTCTTTCGAATGTCTGCGGGTGGCAGGACGGGGTATTTGGTCCAGAAAGGCTCGTACGCCATGGCCAGCTCGAAGTACATGTCATCTCCTTGGTTTGCGAAGTCCATGAGGTATCGCTCAATGTCAAACATTTGCTCCTCGGCGCTCTCGCGAAGGATACGTCGCTGTTCAGGTTGAATATGTTCCGGGTCAGGTAGTGACAAAATTTCGCTCACTTCGCCATGCCATACGCGAAAAAAATCACTGTACGCATTGTTGAATCCGTACGAAGGCGCGAGGTCAGTGACACGCACGCCAATCGACTCGGCGGCATCGTTTCCTGCATCGAGCTTAATCGAGCTAACGCTCTTTGTTGCCGAGGACTCGAGATCCAGGAGCGATGAGTCCGTCTGTACCTGATCAGCGGAAGGTTCGGTTGTGCTGGGTATCGGCTTACCATCGATCAGCGCATTGAGTCTATCGTTTTCCTCTTGGAAAGTCCCAATTGGCGCAGAACTCGATGAATCCAGCACTTCAATTAGTGGTGATTTCCTAGTGTTGGGGCAATAGAAACGGCAAGTTAGAGCCAATGCAATTGGCAATTCAATGCAGTGTAATGCAATGCAAACGCACCGTTGCTTGTCGGATTTAACATCAACTGGAGGCCGTTGCGGTTGCAGCAACTTTGTGAGCATGTCGAGGTCTGGGAAGTCCTGCCCGGGCTCCTTCTTGGGTAGATGCACCACAATGGTACCATTATCCTGCACGACAACACGTAAGGTCAGTGCCTTATCGCAATCTCATTGCATCAGCTATCGCAACAGCGTTTTACCTTGTTGGGATCGTACACAGCCTTGGCCAACTCGTCGTCTACCACCTCGTGCGGGAAGTGCAGCTTGAGCAAGTACGGTTTACAGAAGAACGTAAAATCGAAGCCGTCTACGTAGAACTCCATGTCCGACACGCGTACAAAAGGCACATGCACATGCACAAACACCCACGCGGCGTCCTGCGTCACATGGAACTTGGGCGTCGCTACCATCGCTCTACCGTGTCAATTCAAATTCAAAGATGGCTACAGCTCGCTACGCCACTCACACGCACATTTGTGTATGAAACCTGAAAATCAGTACATTATTCACATCACTAAGTACGATTAATTCGATTAGGTACGACACTTTAGATCGCGCCTTCGGGGAGAAACAGAGGAGAATCTCGACGGATTTACCGTAGTTTGTTTCACTTGATCATGACGGCGGACGTGGCCATGACATCGGCGGACGACAGCGCTGGTCTGACCAGCTACTACGAGAAGAAGATCGAGCATCTGGAGCTGACGGTGCGTGACGAGACGCAGAATCTGCGGCGTCTGCAGGCGCAGCGCAACGAGCTCAACTCGAAAGGTAGGACGGATACTTTTTCTCAATTATTGATAAAATTAAGGATCCTTATCGGTACTGTTGTGATGAAGTGCGCTTGTTGCGCGAAGAGCTGCAGCTGCTGCAAGAACCGGGTTCGTACGTGGGCGAGGTGGTTAAGCAGATGGGCAAGTCCAAGGTGCTCGTCAAGGTGAACCCGGAGGGCAAATACGTCGTAGATGTGGACAAAACGATCGACATCGCCAAGTGCACACCCAACACGCGTGTGGCTCTACGCAACGACAGCTACGTACTGCACAAGATCCTGCCCACAAAGGTGCAAAACTGCGGCTCCCGAAGTATTAATTATGAAATCCAAGGATCTCTAACTTTATATTTGTAGGTGGATCCTCTGGTGAGCTTGATGAAGGTGGAGAAGGTGCCCGACTCAACGTACGACATGATCGGCGGTCTGGACAAGCAGATCCGCGAGATTAAAGAGGTCATTGAGCTTCCCATCAAGCATCCGGAGCTATTCGACGCTCTGGGTGTGGCTCAGCCCAAGGGTGTGCTGCTGTACGGACCTCCTGGAACTGGCAAGACGCTGCTGGCTCGTGCTGTGGCCCACCACACAGACTGCACGTTCATCCGTGTATCGGGTGCCGAGCTGGTGCAGAAGTACATTGGTGAAGGTTCCCGTATGGTGCGTGAACTCTTCGTCATGGCTCGCGAAGCTTCCCCGTCCATTATTTTCATGGACGAAATCGACTCCATCGGTAGTTCCCGTATGGAAGGCGGCGGCGGTGACTCAGAAGTGCAGCGTACGATGCTGGAGCTGCTGAACCAGCTGGATGGCTTCGAGCCTGCGCAGAATATCAAGGTCATTATGGCTACCAACCGTATTGATATTCTGGATGCGGCTTTGTTGCGTCCTGGTCGTATTGACAGAAAGATTGAGTTCCCGAACCCGACGGAAGGGGTGCGTTATATTATGCTTTTGAGCTGTTAAATTGGACGAGTTACTAACTTTTTTGTTGTGTTTAGTCGCGTATTGATATCATGCGCATTCACTCGAGAAAAATGAATTTGCTGCGTGGCATTAACCTCAAGGTTATTGCTGAGAAGATGCCGACTGCTTCGGGTGCCGAGTGTAAGGCTGTGTGCACAGAAGCCGGTATGTTTGCACTGCGTGAGCGTCGGATCCACGTGACTCAGGAAGACTTCGAGATGGCCGTGTCCAAGGTCATGAAGAAGGACTCGGAGCAGAACATGTCGATCAACAAGCTTTGGAAGTAAGCAGACTAGGCGGATGAACGGTACAGCTACTAGGATTCCCCTTCAAAATCGAATGAGCTTCGGTTGTCTGCATGCTTGATCTCTTTGACTTTATTTGGTGGATTTAGGTGGCTCCCAGTTGTAATTATCGAAGAGTTGGTAGTCCATGGGGATCTTTTCCGGGAACTTGACCATACTTTCAATTCCACGAAGTGCCATGGACGTGAACTCGGAGTCGAAATTGGCGAATTGGCCCGAGCGAGGACGCAGTGGAGGGGTACGTAGACTTCGATTCAGTAGTTTAGCCCAGTCAATATGGTGTTTAGCGAAGAACGGATGCTGCTTTACTGCCGTCGCGCCTCCACCTGACGTTCGACGTGCACCAAGTCGCTCTCTGGGGTCTGTACGCAGCAGACATTGCATCAAGTCGCGAGCTTCGTCACTGATGGTTGGTGGGAAGTATACCACGCCGTCCATTATCATCGAGTAGAGCTGCGTTCTACTTGCGGCGTTGTAGAACGGAGGCTGGCCAGTCAACATCTCGTAGAGCATACAACCAAGTGCCCAGAAATCGACCGCCTTCCCGTATCCTCGACTGGGTGACGATGCCGTTGACGATCGTTCGCAGAGTGAAATAACTTCTGGTGCGATGTAGTCTTTAGACCCACAGAATGTCAACGCCAGAGTCCAGTCGTCGATACCTGGTTTAGAGAGTCCAAAGTCTGCAAGACGTACATGACCTTGTTGATCCAGAAGAATGTTTTCGGGTTTGAGATCGCGGTAGATAATGTCGTGTTGGTGTAAATGTTCAAGCGCAAGGAGAACTTCAGCTAAGTAAAAAGCTGCCACGGGCTCGGTGAAATGTCCACGCTGTGAGAGATGGAAGAACAGCTCGCCTCCTGGACAATAGTCTAGCACGATATGCAAGTGATCGATGGTCTGGAAACACGCATGGATCTTCACTATGAATGGATGATCACGACAGCGAGTAAGGACGGTTTTCTCTGCTCGAGAGTGCTGGATCTGGTTCTGTGTTGCGATGGAGCGTTTGCTGAGCGTTTTGATTGCTACTAGTGAACCGGAAGGCAAGTGTCGAGCCACCATGACATGTCCGAAGCCGCCACGTCCAATGACTTTGAGTGGTTCGTACTGGCGTAGCATATACCCACCGCTGTAGCTTTCGGCAATACTCACAGCCTGTACTACTCGAATGTCCGTGATAACCGGAACGGAGGCTGCTGGAGCTGGCCCCTTCTTCACTGGTGATGGCGGATTAACAACCTTTATAGCGGTAGGAGACGGTGGAGCAGGTGGCATCACGGGTGACGCTGAACGGTGTGCAATGGCCTTTGCCTTGGACATTAGTGAGGTTGGAGAAGGCAACCGACTGCTAGCTTTTGGTGAACTACTCGCAAGCTTTGGAGGACTGGTAGCGGGTGGGATAATCTTTAAAGACAGACTCTTTGAATCGTTGGATCCTAGTACCAGTGGAGCCACTGCAGCAGCAGTTGACGTAAGCTGTTCAGCATCTTGAAGACGACTCAATGCCAATTGCAGACTCGCGACATTGATGCTGTTTCTTCGTGTAGTTTTGTCAGTAGAGGTAGTGATACGCATAGAGCATTCAGTAGGTACTGCAGTGTTCACTGGCTGCACTTCGGCTGCACAGATCGCTAGTCTTTGGTGCTGCTGTGGTGATGCCCATTGTCGCATCATGGCCATGGTGGCGGGATCGAACTGTCGAGTCGGTTCAAAGGCAGATACGAAGCGGATACGTGGACCTGGGGTCATTGGGTTTGCGCTTTGTGCCACTACCGAAAAGCGTAGTGAGTCGCTCTGTCCCCCACGGGTAGGGCGAAGATGCTGGAGTCCTTCCCAAGGCCAGATAAAGTGAAAGAGACTTCGACCAGCATTCTCCACAAAGCCGTTTACACACAGTTCATGACAATGTTCCGGGCTGATATCCTGTTCAGCAACTAGCTCTTCTTGTTCATCCAAACTCAAATGTCGACGTGGTTGTCCTCGTTGTGTAAATGATAATCTGGTGTTTTGATAAAGTTGAAGAACTTGAGGACTCGACGGACATTCAACACTTCTGCTACTTTCCGTCGGCTCATTCGAAGTGCTTGTGCTTCGCAAATTTACTTTGAGAAGAGTAGTTCGTGACCCTCTCATGGCTCGACAGACCACTGTGTTACTATCAGCATTAGTGGCGATGGTAGCGTCTGTGTCAGCATCCAGCACCAACACACTGTCTTCACCGCGATCATTGATACCACTGCGGCTGGCTCCGTTTCGACGAGCCCACTGCGGGATGAGATTCGAGATGCTTGACAGTGTGATTAACCGGGAAGGCCTTCGCTGTTTGGTGCTGCGGCGGCTATTCTCAATCTCAATACCGTTCTTGCCAAACTGGTTACGACGAGGACGAGCCCCTGCAGCGTTCATCATCTGCTTAATTTCATGGACTGCCATAGGCGTGTATCCATGGAAATGAAGAATGAGAGTACCTGGGATCAAGGTTTAATAACCATACAATTTGGGGGCAGGTAAACTACTCAATGTTTGACGTACCCCAAGCTCTTAAAGGAGATCGAAGCTCAATGCAAAAGTTTCCTAGCAACGCTGACGACGCATAAGAATGCACAAAATATTCGGCATTTTGCAGTGCGAGGACCCCACATGGAGCCGTTGCGGCTGGGTGTTGAAAGTAAAAGAGATATCCTGCGCATCAGATTGCTTCAAGGTTAGTTTTTTCGACCAGAACAGCTTGATATTTCAGCAAAGCACCTTCTAAGATGACAAAAACTCGCGATACGATTTTGCCAGTTTTCCTGCCTCGCTTGGTTAGCACCGGTTGTGTTCGGAGGTTAATACCATGGAAGAAGGTGGTGCTCTTGGTTCGGTATTCAAAATTCTCAGCTTCATCAACTGGTGCTGTTGCAGTGGCCGATTCAGTGGGAGCTTCTACGTCCGACATTCTTGTTTGACTGGATCTTGACGAGGTCGATTCGATCAAAAGTGTTTATAGGGACGGAGAAAAGAATCAGTACGTAGTCTTCTACCTTATCGACCACGTACACCGTGTGCGAAGTATGTGATAAGTTACCGCTATTGTAAGAATAGGCGGTCATATTTGTGGTAGTTGCTATTCGTAGAGCCTAATTTTTTTAATGGATGAGCTGCCTAAGATTAGAGTTCGATGACGGTGCAGGTCTTCATGCCATGAAGTTCATGGCAGCCTTGGTGACGCCCCCCTGTGGCAATACCGGCAGTGTTGCATTTGGCTTGAAACGTTGGTTAGTAGAAAGTGACTATTGTTGACACCAGACTGAGCTACCTTACTTGGACAGAACATGCAAAACACATGCATTTACTGTCCAAACACACAGCAAATCATTTGTCTTGGCTAAAGTAAACTTTTGACCTCCAATGCGTCGCAATAAGTCATAATTGAGTCTTACAGGTAGTCGCTACGCTCCACAGTTGCGCGGCGTTTGCACCGCCAACTTCGCTTCGCTCGTGGCGGGCAAGGATCCCGCGCGAATTAGATCGTAAGTTCTTGTTTCGGAACCTACTCCGACCTACGCGCCGTCCCCTGACAGACCTCCGCTGAGCTCCGGCCTCTCTAAGGCCTCATAGCGCGGCTATGGTCCTCCACGTCGCCCATCCTTCTGTGTGAAACAACTAGTTTTTTGTGTGTCAGTACTATTTCTCTCCCTTACTTGCCCATTCTTCCCGTTTATGTACGAAACTAGGCAGGAGCAAGTTGCATTTGCAGTCACTTGAAACGTTGGTTAGTAGAAAGTGACTATTATTGACACCAGACTGAGTTACATTACTCCATTCTTCCTGTTTATGTACGAAACTTGGACGAAACACTCCCACTCGTCGAGTGACTCGAACCTTTAGGGTTAATACTCTGGAACGCCTGGTCTGGGTTTAGGCGGGGTGATACAGACGATACCCTCGGTAGAAATCCCTAGGCTTGGAATACTTCCTCAATAGCAATGAATTTGCTGTTCCCGTTGACCAGTTGCTTATGTATTATTCCCTCTAAGTTAGAGGGAATAATACATAAGCAACTGGTCAACGGGAACAGCAAATTCATTGCTATTGAGGAAGTATTCCAGTGTGGTTTAAAGCCGCGACACGCGGCTTTATTATTCCGGCGTGATTTGCTGGCTTGAGCCGTTAATTAGCGTCATTATACACACGTATAGTCTTGCTTCGGATAATTACCAGTATACTTTACAAACATGCTGTATACTTTCAAACGTTTCACAGGCCACAAGCAATCTTGCGGAAGAAGCTAGTATGGCGTCGCGAAAATGCACGTGGTCACGGCGAGAGGCATCGGTTATACTCGACAATGCTGTCGCTGTTGCGCTAGGTCATCTTGGCCTACGCGGTCTGCTCGGGCATACTGAAACATCCGAGCTTTTGGGGTCCATGTATCGTTGAGATTGACGAGCAACGTGTAAGCCACGACGTCCTTGGCGGCGAGTCTTTCGTCGCAGCGGCTCCTTGCTGGCGGGCTCTGCTGCGTCAATCGTAAGGTGTGGTCGTCCGGATAACTGAGCCCGTTGTGCGATCCAAACACTTCCAACCGGATGGAACGGACGAATAAAGCCGCGGCTTTATTGGCTTAAGTCGAGTAAAGTCAATTTTGCCGATCGGCAAAATTGACCAATAAAACGATTAAAGTCGAATAAAGCCGCGGCTTTTATCCACACTGCTCTAACCCCTCAGTTGTAAAATGGAAAACATTTGAAGTCAAATGAATCCTATTCTGGGGTGCTTATTAACTATAGGAACAGTCATAACCAGCACAGGACATCCGAA